CCGGGTGGTGTGTTTTGATCAATAATTATTATTGTTTTACGATGAGTTTTGTTAGACATTGTGAATACGGCTATTGTGCCGCGAGACAATCGCGACGCGAGATAAAAGGACCCAAATACAATAGTGGCATAGAGCGGAGTAGGCATCGGCAGCGGGCATCGCAGCCAACTAAGATCAATAATCTGTGGCAAGATCCTGTCGTCCTCGTCCGTGTCCCGTACCAAATTATGCAAACCCTCTGTTAATAGTTAATCAATGAACAATCGCACACCGCACACCGCGACTCGACGGCACGTTCGAACGACGCTGTTCGACGCCCGCCCCCACCCCCACCCTTCGGCGGGTGCTTCTTTTATCGCGCCAGGAATTGAAAACGCTCCGATGCCAACTATCGGCCGCCGCCTGGACGTTTGGGGATGCTCCTGGAATATGCTCTGGGAATATTTAATTGTTTCTGGACTGTGGGGGGCCAGTTCTTGGTTTAAATTAACGTTATCCCAGGTTGACAATTTATCAAAAACTAAGCATCTACATAGGTACTTTCCAAACGTATGTCTTTCAGAAGACGTTGTTATTGATTAATATAGTACATAAGCCAGTTGTTTCAGAAAATGTCAAAATTTTATAAATCGTCTATTTCTTTGTGTCATATTCAGTGTCTTTTCAATGTTTTTCTCTTATAATAGGTACCCAATTACTTAGAAAAAATAAATATTGGAAAATATGAGTAAACTTGATTTTCAGGAAACAATTATATTTCTGAAAACATAAATTATTATTAAGAAAACACAATTTGTACTACAAATATCATCAAATACAAGGCGATTCACAACTTATCCAAAAAACTTTGGGAATAGATGTGTCATGAAAAATGGAGTTAATATCATATAAAAATTGTAAAATCCTTAGTTTCCGAGAAAAAAATTGTTATAGTAGTATATTCAACCTTTACATCGCCGGGCTACTGTAGTCTCTAGCGTCATTCGCCCACGTGGCACCAGGCGATTCCGAATACTGAAATCCGATTTTAGTATTATCATTGTTGCGATAGTGTTTACATCAGTTTTTCAAGTATCAAAGTGTTTAACAACTCGGAGTTAATGGATATCCTTTTAATTTATGGTGAAGTTAGACAACAGTTGTGTTATGGTGGTATTAGGAAACAAATTCTTTAAAATTTTTGTCCGTTAATTTTTTATTACACTTTGCCGTTATGCCGGTTTACGACTGCGTACTTTCCCTGATGCAGGTCAGGTTTTACAGTGGACCAGTTTCCACTGCCGAGCAGACGTGTATTTTTAAATCATTTCCGAACCGCCGTTTTTGTTTTTTTTTTAACAAAACTGTATTTGTAAGAGTCCTCTGTACAATCAATTTTTTTATAAGTTCTGAATCACCCTGTATATTCCAGATATCAGTGTCTGACACTAGTAAGTCCAACCATAATCGTATATTACAGATCTTCGAATACTTTAATGAATTCTGAAATACATTAGATAAACGATTTCAGGGCTGGTCGTCATGTTTTCGCAATTATTCATGTTTCAAAAACTTGCTCTCTTTTTCTGAAAATAACTTTGAAACTGGAGAATAAGTCCTTTGACAGGTATTTGTATTTGCTGATATACTGGTCCATGCTGTCTGAATGCAGTTATTGGATTATGATATTCCAGTCCATGATTTTTACGGGCGAATCGAGCTCTCGTCTTCGATGAATATTGAAACTGATTTCTATTGCTTTTCTGTAGAGTTTTGGCCGTAGACCTCTCGAGCCGCAGGCGAGGGATTTTTAGGTGCCGAAGCTATAATGGGACTCTTTTCTACCGTGGTTTATATAGTATTTTTTTCACTACTAGCTACTACATCTTAAATCGAGTTTCAATAATTGATATGCAGTTTCACGAAATTTTAATAAATACTCTAAAAACGCTGATATCATGTACAAGAATCAAGTGGGTACTCTTTTGTTCGAAATCAGACTTTGTGACACAAATAAATTTGCAATTAATTCGACATTTCACACAAAAAATTTGCAATTAATTTAGGACCTACTGATAATTATCTGTTGACATGTTCTGGATATTTTCTATCTATTAAAAACGTGTTTCATAACCTCCACGTTCTGCGTGCTGTGGTTCTGTACTTCTATAACTGCCAAGTGTCAAAATTATTAAGTGTCATTTTCATTATTTACCTTGGTTAATAAATCAAGGTCATCACTATTCACCCAGGTCAAAAAGATAGAAGTTTACGCGTCAAAGATAGGTCGATAATGGTGGGCTTATAGACTAGTAGTGGAAAATAGTATATTATTCAACGAGCGTATAATGATGGGTATTATTCACGAGGTGAAGTTTACGGCCACGAGCCGCAGGCGAGTGGCCTAAATCACCGAGTGGATAATAGCCATTATACGGGAGTAGAATACTATACTTTATCCACGACTACTAAATATTTTTGTTGAAGTTTTTTTTGTTTTTAGTTCGTTTTTTAACACAATTTAACACAAAATATCAAAACACTGAGAAATCTATGCACACAAACAATAATGTTGACAGGTTTGAGTCAAATTTGTTTTGTTTTAAAAGCTACTTAGATTTATGAAATGTTTCGAAAAACATGGTATGTTAAGCAACAGATATACGACACGCACAAACGAAGTCGCTGATGGCTCAGTGTAGATGCTCCTTCCCTTCCAACCGCTGGTCCAGGGTTCGAATCTGGTCTAGAAAAATTCACTTTTTTAATTTTTTTTTTATATGTACAGCACTGAATTGAAAATATTTAGTGGTTTACACGATAAAATTTAAAAAAACCGACTGTTTGTAGCAGAACAATATAATATTATAGCTAAATCAAGGAAGCATCTGACAGTAGTGATTAATGACTCATTAATCACTGCCGTGATTAATGGGTATTAATAAGGTCGAGCAAACAGACGTATAATGGGTACATTATACAATAGTCGTGGATAAAAGTATTTTATTATCTGAGGGCGTCAATCACAATGCCCTCGCGGTCCTGACGGCCTACAAACGTCAACATTTGTGAGCAAAAGTCAGTCCTTCGAGTTATATGATAGCGTCGCTACGAAGCGTAGCAATGAGGCTACATCTATCTTCCTTGAGATGCATTGGAAGGTGTTGTATATTGTATTTCCTCAAGAGGCGGCCTTCTCAGTACATCCTTTTATATAATGTGAATAAGTCGTTACCACAAATTATTCCTCTTCCTTCTTGCTAGATATCCTTCTTATACCTTTTTTAATATTCTTGTTGCTATATCCATTCCACATGTAGTTCTTCGTCCAAGTATTCTAGCTAGCAATAATGTGTTCACGATTGTTTCTGAGCTGGATGTGTGGTGTTTTCTGTAAACGGTATGCCTTAGGATGCTATTCAGATTCCTCTTAATGATGACATTAGTAATATAAAAGTATCATTCTTATTCCAATTTCATGATAAAATTGTTTGATGTATTCTGTTAATGTGGTCGGGATATCCTACTATGTTATATTCGCGAGGCCAAATGTATCATCAACCTATTTAAGCCAACACTTTGGCTTGTATATTGTAAATCATAGGTGATTAGAGTGGATAAATCATACTTTTCCAGCACTATCAACGATACGTCTATTGAGGACCTCCATGAAGCTTAGAGCTCTTCATTCCGCGTTAACCTTCTAACTGGACTCCAAAGCTTTGCTAACGGCTTCATGGCCTAATCATCAGCTTCCACTTTCTCTTTTCCAAATATTAAATGGCACACCCTTGTTAAGCCTTCATAATCACACAGCACATGGCCTCCAAAACAAGATGCTTCCTGAATCTTCAGTGTCCTGTTAGCGGTCTTACTATTATCCGCATTGATCTGCGACTTTGGTGTAGTAGGTATGCCGTTAAGTCCCTCGATGGTCTTTTTAAAAACTTCTTGGCTAGAGGTTTCTTGCCACTATTGCTAGGACTTATCTTTCACTTATACCTTCATGAGTATGAGACCTGAGGCTATAAATGAGCCTGCCCTAATGAACTTAATTCGACTTCTCATTATCATGATGCCTTTCATGTTCTTGTATATAAGTTAGAATCACGTCGTCCTGACTTCCTAGTTTTACCGAAGCATGCATGCAAACAGTTCCATACCAGCCTGGCATTGACCTAGTATGAGCTGGTTCGCATAGAGTCAATAACAATTCGCTGGTTTTTTAAATTCCTCCCTATCAACTCCGTTAAGACTTTAGCGTCAGAGTTGCTGATCCCAAGACCTTCTTGAAGGCATCTGTGTTTCATTTCGATATTTGTCCCAGGATTGGAGAAACAGCTGCTTCACCAGTCCACTTAATCTTCAGTTTCCGATGACGTGGCAATCAACCCGAAAAATGTTCCATCTATTGGTCACTGCCATGGGAGCTAACCAATAAAGCTAATAACATCTGATGCCGAAATATTTGCGATACTACAATACAAATGACTTAATAACTGATATACTGACTTCCAAGTCGAAAAAAGTTCTTGGAGTTACACAATTTTCATAAATTTATGAGAATTCCAGCAGCCAGGAAATCTATAAATCGTTATTCCAAAATAAAACGTTCAACGGATAATCAGATTATTTATGTCAATTAACTATATCTAAATTTAAACGGTACTGAAGAAATAATCGATTCTGACATTTTGTTTTTTGTTATTTATTAGAATTATACTGATGATGACGACGATCCTTCAAAACAGTTTCAACTATTAAAATATCTTTTCCCAAAAAGGTAAGTAGATCAGATAAATTCACAAGGGGTACATTTATTGACACCTTTTTCTTCTACCTGACTAAATTAATAAGAGGAAGATTGATCTACAATCGAACATGTTTTTAATATTTAATACCCAAACGTAATTCATTCATTCTTCGACACTACTCACAGGCCTGTTAAAAAAAACTGGGCTTACTGGAAGGATGATGGATTGGGCAGATAAGAAAGGAAAAAAATATATAATATACGTAAATCTCTATCAAAATGTAAATTTATTTGGTATCACATACAATTATAGACAGATGTCTTATTACCTACTTAAATATGTATACATGCAGAAACTGAATTAACGACGATAATAAACCGGCATTGACGAGGTGGACCAGTAATCATTATATTATAATTATTGGCCGGGACTCGACGAAGACCCTTATAGTTATTTAGGTGAATTAATTCATTTCAGCAGACAAGCCGGTAGGAAATGTAGCGTCCGGCCGTTTCCGATGATCGAATGATTTTAACCACCTGTAACAAGGAAGAAAACGGACTTATTTGTATATGCAATGGAGAATTTGTGCACAGGAAACGGTTTTTCTTCGGGAGATCGAGGAATTACTTATTCATTAGTCCATTATCGTTAATAATTAAATGTGTACGTGCTTTCATAAATACCTACAGGTTGTCTCACAATGAAGTATATTATTATAAACTTAGGAAGAAATAACTAAGGCCAATATTGATCCGGATATGAGCTGTTTTCGATATAGTGCTTCAAACTTTTTGGAAAAAAAATCATTTTTCTTAAATATTTCAAGAATGTGTAGTGATTTGCACTTCGAACAAGTAACTAGACCTATAAAATTAGGTAGGCTCAAAAGTAGGCCATATCAAGTTACAGGATGGATAGTACATTTAAAAAAATGTGTGTGTTATTAGGAAAATCTTCCAAGTTCTTTAAGAGATCTTATTCGGACTTATGACATCCAGATAGTAATTTGTGCAGTATTATCCTACACCTTGCGTAAATAATACATTTAGTGTCGATTTTTAAAATCTTGAAAAAAATTATTCTCTAGATTATCAGAGAAAAAAAATACTGCTGTTTAACTTGAATAAATCTAACCATTTTCGAAACATTCAGGTGTACAAATGGCAGTGCGGTTTTTCAAACATTTCTAACAAATAAATACTTTGTAAATAATTGTGTTAATTTAAAAAATGTACAGGGTACTTGGTATCTGTGTAGTACTGTATTTACTGTAACTGTAAGATGGCGAAAAACATTATATCTACCTACCCTCTGTAAATGGATATATCTTCCTTTAGTTTAGTATTACCCGCATTGAAAACATTACAAGTCGATTTAGTATAATTTTTTTTGTGCACTTTCGTGTGGGACATACTGTATTTAACAGGCATACTCGACGATTTTACAATCAATAGAAAAAAATTGTACTTTTCACGTACAAAGAAATAATAATCATTTTGGAATTTTCCTACAGACTACTATCGAAATAAATAAAATACGACCCCTGAGTTTGGAAACCGACATTAAGAAAACGTAGGGTCAAAAAAATTTGAAATTTGGACCATATATAGCGTCACTATTACTCTATAGTGTGCTAAAATTTCAGTTAGTTTCGTTAAGCCATTTTTTAGTTATTAATGAAAATATTGAAAAAATGACGGTTTTCTTCCTACAAAATTGATACTTCTTACTTTAACTCGTCATAATTTTTTTGTTAATTGATAAAAAAATTCCAAATTTTTACTGACGATAAGTCGAACTATTGTCTTTAGTACTGTGAAGGTCATTTGTCTCAAAAGCTCTTATTTTTTTTATTTTTAAGCAAAGCAGAAGGGAGTGCTATCTCCGTAAATATTGCGTTCTTTAAAAAAAGAAAAAACTGACATAGGTAGTAAATAAATGTAAACAACAATCTGAAAAAACTTAAAATAATACAGTTATAAAGGCTATACTGGTATACCCTGCATCGGACCGAGAACGTAACTGACCATTCCGATACTGTTTTTAAGAATATCATATTTATAACTGTATTATTTTAACAATTTTTTTCAGATTGTTGTTTACAATACCTATGTCAGTGTTTTTCTCTTTTAAAGAACGCAATATTTACAGAGATAGCACTCCCTTCTGTTTTGATTAAAAATAAAAAAAAAATAAGAGCTTTTGAGACAAATGACCTTCACAGTACTAAAGACAATAGTTCGACTTATCGTCAGTAAAAATGTGGAATTTTTTTATGAATTAACAAAAAAATTACGACGAGTTAAAGTGAGAGGTATCAATTTTGTAGGCAGAAAACCGTGATTTTTTCAACATTTTCATTAATAACTAACAAATGGGATAACGAAACTAACTGAAATTTTAGCACAAAATAGAGTATTAATGAGGCTATGTATGGTCCAAATTCCAAAATTTTTTGCCCCTACGTTTTCTTAATATCGGTTTCCAAACTCAGCAATCTATTTCATCTATTTCGACAGTAAGAATAAGTGAAATAATAGTTAAGATGACAAATAATTAAAAGATTTAATTTGAAAAATAAATTGAACAGAAACACCTTAATGGCAGATTTAAAAGAAAATTGTAAATTGAAAAGTAATTTAACTTATGCTATTGCTATTTCATTAACAGAAATGAAAAACCTAGCTCTACGAATACGACGCGGGTTAAGTGAATTAAAACACCCGGTTTGTATATATTATTTAAATTATCGGTTAACCCGCATGGAGTTATTTGATATTACATTACTTCGTTTCCTTTAAAATTTATTAAACAAAATACGTTAGCTGTATCTAACGGCGAATCAATAGAGTTAGCAATAAATTATTTAAGTGACCTCCAAGCTAACTTCACATAGAAATTGTTATATTAAAGTTACAGTATATTAAGTTTACTCTATTTCTTAAACGGAAATCAAAACTGAAGGAAATAAATAAAACAAAATTTTAAACGTACTTTGAATATGACAAATAAATGAAAGTCGCCAAAGAAATGTGATTTAAACTAATTATATACTGTAATAATGTACCTATAATTTCATAAGTTTTGTTAATAATTGAGTTTTTAACAGAAAAAAAAATTTTTTTTAACAGAACTGAATTTATGTTTTCAGTTAGCATCTGGTTTATCCATTATTTTTTAATAATAAACTTTGCTTTAAGTGCAATCCTGATTGAAACCATTTGTGAGAAATAACTTAATATTTTAATAGTTGTCTGATAAAATTTTGCCTACATCACAAAAATAAACATTCTTTGGGGAAATATTTTTGCATTCAAATGTAAGACAAAAAATTTGCTGTAACTTTGCGTTGAGATTTTTCAGTAGGTATCTCCCTAGCCATTAAAAAAAATAAATAAATTGTTTTTCATCAATAATTTAAATTTTATATTTGTGTTTCTGCCTAATAGAAGATTACCTGCAGAATATACTGTTGAAGCTTCTTTTAACTTCGATCAACTTGCAATTTCAAAATTATTATTATTTAATTCAACAAAGGTTAACATAATAAAAAAAAAATTGACAACATACAGGCTGTGCCACTATGAAAATGAAACTAGTGGAACTAATGCATAGTGCAAAGAATTTAATTTTGGTCTTGGTAAAATATGGAGATTCGAAGAAATGTCTTTCAATTTGTCAACCTGGTTACTAAAAATTTGAGTTTAAATTTCCTTGGAAGAATAAAAGAACATAGATGGTAATTTAGAATATCATTTACAACAAATACAGTCTGATTTCCAATATGTCGCTTTTAATAAAAATATATTTATTATGTATCTTTATGAATAAAATTATCTACTTTAGTTTAACATGGTTTTCAATTTAATTTTGTAACATTTAAAATGAAAACAAAAATATTAAAAATATGAATAAACTACCCCTTACAATAAAACAAAAAAAGTAGAAAGGAAATGTTGTGTTAGCTCATGACATTTGCACAGAATAAACGTGTTTTGACATTCCATATTTAATAGTATGTATCTGGTTGGACGTAATGATCCAAATAAAAATGTAACAAAAACTTGTATATACATAGAAAGATATAGAGCGTTATTCTTGTCAGGAAACAATAAACAGAACTGGAAAAATCTAACAAATGGTTAATTTTAGTGTATGCAAATAAAAAAAATTGTCCGAAATTTATTTACCTAACAACGCCGTCCACAAATAGGAGGATAACGAAAATATTCTTATGACCCTTACTGCCCTTTATTTATGGTTGGTAACGATTTAAAATATGTCTTAGTTCCAAAGGTAACAACTGTGAGAATGTTGAGTGAAACACTCTGTATATTTGTATGGAAGAAACTCAGAAAGAATTTAAAATTATTAGAAGTGAGATATGGTGGCCTCGACGTATTTTGTTAATATCCAAAAAAAATTACAATAGTTAATGTTCAATTCAAAGACTAATTGAACTGATACTGGTTAAGTATAGGTAACTTGTCAAATACAACTATATGAAGTAGTTAAAAAACTTTGTAGAGATAAATTCTACAAATATTTATTCAGTAGAACAGCCATATGTACCTATATTTTTCCTTCAATTCATTTAACTATTGTTACAATTTTTTATCAGCGACAGCTGGTAAAATTTAAACTGATAATATTTTGAAAATGAAGCATTAGACTGACATTTTTTTAGAGTTGATGTTTTGACAGACACATAGGGCAATTTTTGACGGAAAAGTTCTAAGATTTAGTAAATTTCAATGGAAATTTTGTCATCATGAAAGTTCTCTATGTGAACATAGAAATCATTTCCTAAAAAACTGTATAGGACCCACACCTCATTGTCAGAATGACTACTTTAACTTTCATCAATTGCCACTGATTTTCACATCATATTTCAAGGCCAGTTAAAAATAATAAAATAAAATTATTTCAAAATAATGTTATACATGGGATTACCTATAGAATTTAATAAAAAATTAAATTTACTAGTAAGCTTCTAAAAATTAATGAAACAAATAATTTCTGTGACACTAACATATTAACCTTTAAGGGAAGTGAGGCAACATTGTAGATAAAATTTTATTTCATTACATTAATTCTATAAATATAGGATGTTACAAATTCGCTTCTCACTACAGGGATCTCGGAAATGGTAAAAGATACTAAGTAGCTTAAATAGGGGCAAAGTGCACAATCAGGGGACCAACATTATGCTTCAAAAAAATCAAGTCTAACATGATTAGTTTTCGAAATATTTGAAAAAAAAAACGAAATTTTGGAGGCATTCATGACCCCCAGTACTGTACTGCCTCAGCCCAAACCAGATTTTCAGATGTTTTGTCTAGAAAAATTCATCTTCAATGTATTCGTTTCAAATTTATCTATTTTTTTTTTAGATTTCTATGTTTCTTGAATTATTGCACACTCTAAGTATCGTTAGACCCTGTGAAATCCACCTAGTTATTTAAACTATTACCATCATACGTTTCTAGATTTCTTGCATACTCAAAATTCAAATAAATTTCGACCTTATTTTGTTCAGGATATTCGTACAATTACATCTGACATGCTTTTTCACAGTTGCGGTTACAGGTATAATAAATTCCGATTATATTATGCTTATGTTCGTTTTCAACATTTTTTGGCAAAACGGAAACTTTTTTGAACATTTACTGTAATTTTTTAAAGTATAATATTCATATGCAATTTTAAGAAGTAATTTGTTATAATGAAATTAAAATTGTAATGTTTTAATCTTGATGCAACAACTTATTGAATTATGTGTGACCAGGTGATGGAGATTAAAACTCTAATAATGTTTTATTGTAACGTATATTATTCAAAAAGCTTAAAAATCCTGTTTTGCTCGAAAAAAAATCTGTCAATGCTGATAATAATGCACCTCAAAAACTAAAGAACAATGCTATTACAATATTGTTCGTTCTAGCTGTAACTCTGTTCCCTATACAAACTACCAATAATTAAATAAAGGTAATAAATTATCTGTCACTGATATATGTTATGTTATTAGGTACTACACGACATGAGATATATTAGCAAAAATATTACAATACCCATGTGACGTATATATTATTGTACTTAATAGTTCCAAATAATTACTTTCATATTGAAAAAACATACGTTTATTTTAAAATATCTGGTTATTCAACAAACTAAAGATAATATTTTTTAATTTGGTTAATGCTCCTATTATATCGAATTATTGTAGAAAAGAAAATTGAGATGTAGATAACACTGCTCCTGCACTCCCTCTATGTAGGTAAGTAATCACGTTTTATTAGCTTATAAAATCAATGCTAACGTTGGAGAGATAGGACAACTTGTTAAATCAACAGTATTAAAAACTAAGGAAACAATAATCCAAAACGAAAAAAATAATGCACTAACCTGTCCTCTTTTTAATCCAAAGTACCTGGCAACTGGATCACCTGCTTGAATTCTCATCAACATATTCTCCTTCAATTTACTGAACACTAATTAAGGAAATAATATAAAATAAGAAAAAATATTTCTAGTGTTCAGACTGATCTGGATATTGATTTTTTTGGAAAAGGGTTTCCTTTATTTTATTATTAAAATTAGTTTTAATATTACTGGCAAGATCAAAACATAAAAATATAAATACACATTTACAGAGCCTTCATAAGCCACATGACCATTAATTTTAATTGAGACAGTAATTTTATTTAGCAATTAAATTTCAGTAAATGATTAGTATAATGAATCAGCGATCACATTATCCCGAGTATAGACGCATCATTTGTAAAAGAATCATTAATATTGGTGCGCTAAGATTTAAGAATTTTTATTTGACAGTACCAGTCGTGCAATGTTGTGTTGTCTAAGTTTGGAGTTCACGCGGCTTGTAATCATTTATGAAGACTTTGTACAAATCTTTATAAAGATTATTTCAATGAACTGAATGACAAAGTTTTATCATCTGTAGCATATATAGATAACAATAACACAATATCAATTTAGCAGTTTAATAAAAAGGATACTATCTTGCTAGAAGTTCTTGTTTTTCTTCTGGTGTCATCACTACATGTTCCGGAACAAGTTCATGTTCAGTAATATTAATAAGCAACTCAGATTCCAAAAACTGTTCTAAAATATATTTAGGGGCCATATCCACCAACGATTGTTTAGCTGAAGGAGTCATGCCAGCTTGTACGACTATAATTGCTCTATGAATATTTTCATCCTGCATACGTGAACAATATGTCTTTATTGTTTTTATACCAATTTTTGAGTCGTCTGGGAAAAATACGAACATCTGATCTGTTGGGTCATCATTGTGAGCGACTAGTACAATTAAATCACTTCTTGAAGGTCTTTTTTCACTAAAAGAATGAACACATTTTTAGTAAAACAGAAAAACGTGCTTTTTATTTGTAAAAATACCTTGGTTTGTCTCCAAACTGTTCCTTAAACTGCTCCAAGGTCTGATCCAATTCATCCTGAGTCACTAAATATCCTCTATCGTGACACAACTGCAAAATAATAAATGTTAGAGGTTTTAAAAAGTTAGGTTAACATTTTTAAGAGGTACCTGCATTACTGTTTTACGAATTCTCCATAATTTGTATGTCTCAGCTTCATCATCCATTATGAACAGTAATGATTTAAACTTTTATAAGTTAAAAAAAAAATTAACAAATTTTTATGTTTACCAAATAACTTCTGTAGTCGACTTCGCAAAACTTTCAAAGCACTGAACACTGAAAATTGATTTGAATAACGTTGCGATAACATTTGCTGCTTTCCAATTGCCAGAGAACTACTCCTAATGTGTTCTACTGTTCTACATTTTAAATACACCAAGGGGTCAGGGGAAACAAACAGGAACACTTTAAGAGTAAAATGTTTCTGCTTATTAGAACACAAAAAGCTAGTTTGAAGTATTCGTGAAGTGCATCCGAAGTCACAGAGTAGGTACCAACCCGAAGTACAATTTTTGGCAATTGGAAAGTAGCCATTGTGCGCACCAATGGCCACTGAACTTGGAGCATGGACCAAATATCGCGTGTAAAAAAGTGTATATGCTGTAGAAAGGGCGATAGGGTCAAATATGTAATGTTTGGGTACTCTCTCCCTTTCTTAATTTTATTTGAATATCACCAGAATAAACAAGCGCTTGAGAAAAAGATAGTACATGGTATACAAACTTAATCTGTCTCTTTCTGTCAATCGTCTAAACGGTCTGTCAATGTACTTTCTCTATGTAATACTTGCTCTAATCCACTGAATGAGGCACAAATCAGAAACCCCCAGTGAACATGCAGCATACAAATCTAAAAGAAATGTAGACCCATGAACTGGATACACACTGGAGCGGATGCATATTCTTATGTTCATGAAGCAAATTTTTAAGATATGCAACTTTCAATGAGAGAGTTTTCTGTCTCTCTCGCATTCTTTGACATTAATATGTAGAAGTTAGGAGCGATTTACTTTTAAAACGATTTTTCTTATATTCTTAATGATTTTTTTTGCTTTGAAATTGATGTAAACTAATAATACAAATTTAAATACTAGCAACAGAAAATATACCCCACATCTCACATTTGGTCAAATTCTGTTCAACTAAAAATGTAATTATGCACCTACAAAGCCGTCTCTTTTCATTGTCGTTTTATTGAATAACGGATCTTTGATCCGGATCGTATTGTTCGAATCAATAAAAGTCGAAAGAACGTGTTTTTGAAATTGTGTTTAATCCAGAGTGTTTAGTCTACAAATAAACTGAAATACTGAAAATAAACATAACCTTTTAAATTTGATTAGTTAGCAACGTTAGCAAGTTAGTTAGTCCTGGATCTGCTAAAAATATAATGCCGACGAAGAGTTAGACCATTAATTTTTTTACCTTCTTTTGCTAAGTTGTAATCGATACAGGAATTTCAACTTATTGGCCTTATTTGTTACACAATCTTTAGGTTAGAATTTTAAGATTCAAACCAATTGTGCAAGAATCACAAAAATTTTACGATTCAGAAATTACAGTATTTTGCCAATCCTGATGTAAAAATATGTTCAAAAGAATAGCCACAGATTCCAAAATATCTGGTGAAACGGGTTATGAACTAAGTATTTGGATGAAAAGATGGCTATAAGATAATCAAAATGACCCAAAATTATGTATATGCAAGGTTCAGATTCTTACCGTTTAGTGGGACCACGTAAATCTTGTCTATACAGGAAATAGGTATATTCAAATGTATAAAAAATAGTTAGCAACCCTACTGATATGTACCATCTTAATAGAAAACAAATTAATTTTTTAATTTCATCTTGGAAATAACTTTTTAACTGAACACTACAATTGTAGGAAATAAAACTCGTAGAACTTAAAAATGATTTATTTTAACTTTATTCTTCTGGAACTTCTACAGTACCATCATTTACTTCGTCGATAACATCGTGAGGAAGTTTACTGTCAATGGTACACCCTACTGACTGAGCTGTGCCAAGAACTTCTTTTACAGTTCCTGCAAGATTTTTTGCCATCGAACGGGGCCTCATTTGCCTAGCAATGGAAATAACATCATCAAAGGTGATATTTCCACTGTGTTTTACTGAAAATAAATTAATATATAAGTACATCATCTAATAATACATACAATTGTTAAAAATTAATAGTTTAATAAGTAGTGATGGAGGCTATTGAATAAAAACTATCGAAATATTCTATAGTACTAAACTATTTGAATTATTTGAAAATCCAAAAACTATTTCAATGAAAATAGTAGAAGTTAGTAAATTATTGGTTCTACGCCTAGTGCCGCTGAATTAGTAGTCATTGGTCAATAGTCCTGTCACTGTGCTAGTTAATGTTAGTATTTAGTAGTCGACACAAGATGAGCATAAATATAACAAAATATAATAGAAATACAAAGGGTGGGTCTGGATACGTACATTGTCGGACTATTAAGTTTTAAGACTGATTTTACTGTGGCAAAGTGTGTGGCGCTATTTATGTGTGGTCAATGGAACTACATAGTGGGAAGCCTTCTGGGCGACCAAACAAATCAGTATACGTGTATCTATTATGATAATTGTCATGGAAACTCACATTGAACAGCATGCAGTAATCAAGTTCCGTTTTAAAACCGTGAAAACAGCCATGGAAACGTATCCATTATTACATGCAAATGGACTACGGTGAATCTGTATCACATCCAACTCAGTTCCGTGAAGTTTTGTGAAACATTGAGGCTGTGCGCTCTGCGCTGAAGTCCGATCGTTGGCAATATTTTCGAATCGACAAAATGTACTACTTTGTCACAATATTGTCTCAACGTTAACTGTCTTATAGATTTTTGACTTGGGTAAATAAACGTTATTTAGAATATGTAATATGACAAATATATGAAAGGCTGATAACCAGTTTTATATAGAAATTATATAAGCAAATACAAAATGGATAACTTTAAAGTTTAACAGAATATATTGTTAATCTCCTGTAGTAACACACTTAGTATTTCGTAAGCGCGAGTTGCAATAAGAGATATATTAATTTAGCACATGGAGAATTTGATAAAAATATGAATAATTTTTATCATGTACCCTGTGCGTAATTTAAAATTTTAAATGGAAAATAACAACAAGCTATACTCACTATTTTTCTGTTTCTTCCTATCACGAGGGGGTTCCTTAAGTGCCTTTATTATAAGCGAAGCTGCAGATGGTACCACAGAGATGGTTGCTTGACGATTCTGGATTCTAAGTTGAACGGTGATTTTTAGTCCCTTCCAATCTGCAGTACCTTTTGCGATATCGTCACCAATTTTCTTGGGAGACTAAAAGAGAAAAACATATTTTGTCTCATGTCAACATAACCTATACATTATGTTAACTAGAATGAATAATTTATTACTTTTTCAGCTTACCAAACCTAGAGGTCCAATTTTAGGAGCCAAAGAAGATGTAGCTCCTACTTCACCACCAACACAGCGGAGGTATACTAAAAGAAAAATATTAAATATGCATAAATAACCTAACTTTTGTTTTTAATAAATTTATAGACATACCAAATTTTATTTCATTCGGATCGAACTTTGGTGGCATTTTTAGTTAATTGGTTACACTAATTCTGTATAAAAAATCTACAGAAAGCCGATGATTTCAGATTTCTGAAATAAAACTATCGTCCACAAATTCTTTCACGAAGGACGATTTTAAAAGAAAGCTGTCAAATTGTGCGCAGCTTCATTTATCTTTCTGGCGCGGGAATTATAAAAATTATATATAATATTTATAACAAAAATAAAATTCTATTTATTATTCCTATTGTACCCATGATGTTATGTGTCATTTAAATATAAAGCCTTGTTAGAAACATGTTCATGTATATCTATTAGAAATTATGTTTATTCACAATTATTTTTAATTATGGATATAATTGCAATAATAATTTTCTTCTTTATGAAGGAAAATGGAACCAATTTTTAGTCAAGTTGTCATTTTCATATTTTAAATTTATTTTCCTGTCATATCATTAATTGAATTACCAATACATACTTGGTTTTAAAGATATTTAGCTTAGAAAGTATTAGCGAACTGGGAAGTTATATTGATTGACAAAATGATTATAACATAATTATAACATTATTGAATAATTATTGATGTTAAAGAAGCATGTAAACAGAAAACTTTCTTATTTTTTTATTAATTCTGATCGGATCAGATTATATAAACTTTAAGCAACAATCACAAATCACAAGGGCTCACTTAAAGTGAAAGTTTTCCACTTGGATTTGATTGGATATGATCTGGATATATGTCTTTGTCTATGGATATGATCAAAAGAATACGAAAAGCAATTATCAAGTCAAAAACAAATTCAGATTCAGAACTGTCAATAAAAAATAAATATTCCAAATCCAAATTCCAACAGGCTGTCAGTGTCAATTTAAGTAAAAAGTTCGCGACTGAAAAGTGCATGTTATAACACTAGTGTTATGAAATGAAAGAAAACTAAATTCTTGTGTTCAATACTTACTGATTATACAATAATGAAAATAAATTATATACCGTTTACAACTTTTCTTAACAAATAAATAATGAATACAACGAATGTTTTTTTAAAGGAGAAAGCATACTCTGGAGGTTTTCATTGCAGCAAAGATGCTCTTACGGATATGTTTGGATGGTTCCTACAAGTACTCCTGGCTTGTTTAGCTTTCACTTGCTTAATCGGTAAGTTTTATTCTTCCGTAGTTTGGGAAAAAAGTAGCAACCGTTCTCTTTTCTAAAACAGCTAAAAGATTTTGTGAACCTCGTAAGGAAAGACGGTCGTGGTTAATTTGGTTTTATGATACCTCCAAACAAGGAATGGGCGCTATGGCTATCCATCTAGCGAACGTATGGCTTGCTGGTCAATATACTGGGGATCCATGCACATGGTAAGGGGTTGTTTAAATTAAAATTAATTATTTGTTTATTATAATTTCATGTTATTACACGGAACGTTTATGCCAATATGTAAATGTGATTTTTAATTTTCTCGAGGTAATACCAGCCTGTTTTATTTAATATTATAAATTCAAAAAGTACTTGATATGTTGAGATTATTAGATGATGGCAATATATATTCAGTTGATTTAGATTAGATTAAAACTTCAATTTTGATCCATATTCTGTGATTTAAAATAAAATCTCATTTTCAAATACTTAGGTACTTTTTTATTAAAAACGTGTTTTATGCACAAAGTTAAATATTAATATTTACATTCAAGTTAATATATTTATTTTTCCCTCAGTTTATCTTTGATATGGAATTCTAGAAAGAGTTAACTGCTAACAATTTCTTAACTATACATTTTAATAGATCAGTAATAATAGAAATTTATCAATTATGATTTTTGTTTAAAAAATTTCAACCTTTAAACTACTATGCATATCAAGCATTGTATACATTGATTGTTAAGGAATAAGCATATCAAATTGCAACTTGAGTCGTACGAAATAGAACTAAAAATAGTAATATCTTATTATTAGAAACATTAATTAGTAGTTTAATAAATACATAACATAAACAAGTGAACAAGTGAATAATAATTATTATTATAATTACTTGTGATCTACCTTGACCCTCTTTGTTTAGAAAACAACTTTATTAAATAAATTATTATCATTGTATTTGTAACAAATGCATTTATATGCATTAGAGTGTATCTCCGTTATCTTATTGCTTTAGTTTTAATTAACATTTATTTAAAGGGGGGCTTAAAAGTAATCTTTAATAATTGTAAGTTATAACAAATTCACAGTTATTAGAATAAAATAATGTAGGTCTTTTAATTCTGTATAAGATTTCTCAAATCAACATTTATCTTGAATACCTACCAAAATCATTAAATATTGCACAGGTCTTTGAAATCTTTTGAATCATATCTCATACATAGTAATTTCTTTGTGATTCCTTTTTTTTTTTCATTAACAATTACAGGTATTTAATAAATTTCCTGTTGGATTCCTCATTAGGTTTATTGATAATCTTTATTGGTATACGATTAAGTCAGTACTTAGCTAGAACTAAGGGGTGGGAAGCTATAAATTTTGGTGAATATGGTAAGTGTCGGTACTTATTCTCATTGATCAGTCGTATACTCGTGAATTAAATTTCGTAGGTAAACCGCCGTCTGCGAATGCATGGATGGCTCAGTGTTGCCTCTATGTTGGGTTGATGGTAATTGTAAAAGTTTCCATAACATTATTCATGCAGTTAGACTTTTGGGAAAATGTAAAGGATTTTATTTTGTCCCCGATTCCAAACGCTAAAGTCGAACTAGCTTTTGTAATGCTCATCATTCCCTTCTTTGTAAATGTGAGTACGCATTTTTTTCTTGTGTGCATTTGTTTTTAATGACTACATGTAATCAGTTGTTTTAACAAATTTAACGATATCCACTTGAAGTACTTTGCTGATATGTATATGATATTGATTAATATGTTAATATGTAGGTGGTTTATTATATAATACATTATAAGTTTTTCTTGTTATAATTTTTTTAATTGTTAATAATTTTCATATTTATATATTCCTCAAAAATGCAAAGTAAATTTTTCCTAGTCTATTTTCATTTATATTAAATATAATTCCTTCTTTGCATTCGTTTCCTCAACACTATTACTCTTGAACCTGTTTTGTTGTAGATGTTAATGTTTTGGGTAACAGATAACTTCTTAATGTACAAAAATCCATCGAAACGAAGACGTGATAGCACAGAGGAAAGTCTGTTGCAAAAAGCTAAAGTGAAATACCGCTCTCTAAGAAGAAAGAAAAGAGATTCAGAAAGTGATATACTGCTCTCGGCTGATGATGAGCTTTTGGACTCTGAAACGGTGCCAATTGCAAGAGCAATTATTACTTAAGTTTGAGATTCTTTGGTAAGTACATCAGTTTATGAAATAACATTTTTACGGAATATTTAATATTTGTATATTTATATTTCTGCTTGTATTTTTAATACAAGCAGAAAGTTGTATGCTTGTGGACATTAAAAACTACTGCTTATGGTCCTCATAAAACAGTTTCACTAGTTTTGTTTTTTTTTGTCCACGACTGTACAAAGTATTATTTTTTTTTAAAACACAAGTATTCTTGTAATTAAACAATTCATTACATAAGTTATCATAAATTTCTTTCAGTCTAAAATGTTGTGTCCAATTTAAAATTTGTTATACTTACCTAATATTACTTATTTCGTTTAGCTGTCACTTTTTAGCATAACAAATAAAGTTTACAAAAAATGGAAAAATATATTTTTACCATATCGCAAAATTTTCAAGTTTTTGCTATCTTGTAGGTACATTTTTTTGTATTTCCAAGAGATTTTGTGTTAATTAATTATTTTATTAGTTCCATCAAGTATTTTTCGATATAGAGTTGATAATTGTAAATAATTTAATTTATTTGATAATAAAAACAAAATAGATTAGAAATCATTTTTTTTTGTACACAAAAATTGCTAAAAATGATCGATGTTTTCTCTAACATTATACATATAATTCAGTGAAAAGATAAATATAAATAAACAAATGTCACTCATTTCAAATATTCCTCATTCTGCAAATTATGAACAGAAAGTTTTTTTGAATTAATTTAATTTAAAGCTCCTGAAATTAAAATAGATACAATCATTCTAGTTTAATAGAAACATAATTTGTAGAAACTGAGAAACTTGGAATAAGTGACATTGCCTTTTTTATTGTTTTGTTATGAGTTACAAAAAAAATTGTTATACTTATTTTAGTGAAAAAAAATCGATTTCAAGTAGCACCAGTTTTTGATAGAATTTAGCTAAAAACTCATGTAATTTCATGTACAATAGGGCACCCTGTATTTAAAATAAATATAAAGAATTTGGAGCTCAAAGTAAATTATATACATATTTTTTTCCTTGAATTGATTTGAATTTTGTGTTACAAAATTTGGTCATAGATTCTTAAGACAAATTTAGGGGACCCGTATTTTTTCTTTTTGCCAATTGGCCCTCTCTTTCGGAGTTACAGCCCCCTGAAATCTGCCCCTACGAAGTCTTTTTTATATCTCAAAACCATGTTGTACGAGAAAAATTATTAGTTAGCTAGAAAGCCATTGAATTTAGAAACTTTTTTTGTCACTTGATATTTGTTTCTTAAAACGCAATGTTTATGAGGAAAATGGTGAATCACGATATGCATTCGATCACATTTTGACATTTTCCTCGAAAACATTGAGTTTTACGAAAAAAGTATGGACTGATAATTTTTAAGAATTTTAAATATGCAACCAAATTTTTTTGTCTCCAAAGACAAGGGGGCCCACGAAAAATTGTCTTAAGGGGGTTTCCCGCCAAAAAACGTAGCACCATCAGATTCCACGTCATAAAACCCCTGTGTACCAAATTTAGTGATTCTCGTACAGCAGGGTTCTGAGATATAAAAAAAAGATTATTCTTAGGGGCAGACTTCAGGGAGCTGTAACTCCGAAAGAAAGGGGCACTTGGCAAAAATAAAAAATACGGGTCCCCTAAATTTGTCTTAAGAATCTGTGACCAAATCTGATTCAAAATAACATTTTTCAGATCTATGCAGTCTTCAACCATTCCTATATGTTTTGGGTCAGCTATTTTAAACTACATATAATTAAAAACAATGTGAAGGCATTATCTCTTATCAAAACGTTTATGTAATATACTAATGTAATTATAAATATTTATCAGATAAGAATAACTCACTTTTTGTGAGGAAGTTGTGATATATATACTTAGTCATATATGATTTAAATAATTTATTGCTGAATTTTCAAATAATATAAGCCTATGTATGAACGAAAAATTGCAAACTCAAAAAATAAAATTTATTTTTCCCATAACTTTTAAAATTATGTTCAATCAAATTATTTACTGTGTTCAGCTACACAATTAAAATAATAATACCTACACTTAATTATTAATGAAACATAAGTTACAAAATGTATATTCCTTTCTAATATTTCGTAATTTAGATTAAGTACATTGTTTCTTTTTGTACATATTTGATTGGACAAAAATGTAGTTTAATTCTGCTTCATTTACATTTTCATTATGTATTTCATCACAAAATGTTTTCTAACAAGTATTTTTTTCCTGTGTGAATGAGCATAGAAAAAGACATATTTACATTTAAACTTAGTATGGCCATCGATGTAGAAAATCTTCGAAGTTGTAATAATTATTTGTAAATAGTTAAATGAGAATGTAAAATTATTTATATAAAATTCTTCTTAATTACATATTTAAAATATGTTTCAAATTTGATTCAATGCAACATATAAGCTTTGTACTTTGGTGCAGGGTAATATGGTACCAAAATACTTGACAAAGTTATATTTTGTAAAAAAAATATATATTTTTGTTGTACTTTCTCTTTGCTTGATTGTTATAAGTAGGGTTCATCTTTAAATTATTATTTTTTTAATATCTACAGGGTGTGGCGTCTTTAGTGCAGAAAAAATAAAATGCAGATTCCTAGGAATATATGCAATAAAAAAGCCTTATATAAGATATTCATATATCCACGTTTTGTCAAGAAAATTGAACTTCAATTTTGTAGAGAAGAAATAAATCTTAGTACGGTCCTGGTCAAAAAATGTCATGCCATTCGATTAACATCAGCGCACGCTTGCCGAACCGAACTTAACAGAGAGTCGAGCCTTTGCGCAAATCAGTGTTGCCAAATTAAAATGTATGAAATACACACAAAAGAGATAAAATGTTTTAATGTAATAATAAATAATTTTGGCCAGTTTAATACAATCCTCTCGTTTTAATTAAAAGGAAAAATGAACATAAAATTTAATTAGTTATTTCACTGTAAATGGTAATGTGCAATCCCAGACAAGAGGTTTGTAGAAACAAAGTACATGGTGTTACAGAAAAGACTACTATTATTTTAGCAAGTGATAGGTTGGATCACGACCAAAAAAATATGCAAACTTACCGCTATTATAACTATCACCATGTCAGGACCTTCGATAGTAGTAAACGTATTAATGTTGTCCTCGTTATCCATTGGCAATTTAGTTAAAACAATAACTTAAATTATAAAAAATAAGAAATGTCTAATAAACACTTAACGTCTAAACAGCAGAAGCGCAATCTTTTTGACACAACTTAGCAGCAATTCGCCCGCAAGTCAAAAGCGTCCTGATACTGACTGACACTCCACAGGTGCCGCGCAGAGTGCAGACTAGGTCATAGTTTTTTGCGCTATGTCAAACATGACCGGCATTAACATTTTGTCACTTGTAATTTTTTAGAAAATATTTTTGATACTCTAATCTCATAATCGCCTTATGGTAGCATATATTATTTTACTTCATTTATTGCCAAGAGTCTAGGTTTTTAATTTTCTGCATTAAAGACGCCACACCCTGTATATCTATATTTTGTATATTTTTATCTAATTTTTGTCTTAAAAGTTCAATATCCAAAAGTCTTCCATAAGTATTTTATTTCACAAATTTAAAATAATACCTAAGACTGAATTAAACAAAAAATTGTCTACGCAGGTATATGGAAATAATAGCAGGAGCAATAAATAAAATTTAGCAATGGACACTTTCCAACAAATATTTTGTTGCTATATTATTGAACTGCTACCAAATTTTTGAGTCAAATTCGAATTTGTTACAAAAATTAAAAGATTTACTCAGTTGAAACTGTGGAAAAAATGGCAAAAGAAAAAATATAACGATACTTCTTATTTCTGTCTGTCATAAATGTTCCTACAGTTTCACAGTTTTTAAGACAATTTATAAAAGACTGTGCTTCTTTCATTTAGGTATACACGCTACAAAAAGAAAAAGAAATATTTAGCGTAGTTAATTTTTATTTTAATAAAATAAATGAGTCCATTTTCAATGCATTTATCTAGAATTCCTGAGGTATTCCTCAATTTATCGATCACTATTTTATAGTTTAAATTAAAATTCTGTGTTAATTTTACCATTTAAAGTTACCATATAGTAATAACTATTAACGTATAATTTAATAATTGGGTGCTAATAATTTAATAATCAACATGCCTAGTATAAATAAATAGCAAAAAAGTTAGTATAGTCATAAATTATGGTTATTGAATACAATATGCAAAGACATTATTTAAATTTGCTGTTTGCTTTAAGATGTAGGGTTAAATGGATTGTTAAAATGTTGGTTTATTTGATATTATTAAGTTAATATATGATAATACGAGGCATGTCCACAAAGTAAAGTACTTAATTTTTTTAAAATTTCATCAAAACCGTATTTTTCCACGTAGATACCCACCGCTTCTCGGGCTCATTGTTTCACAGCAATGTGGACCTCATCATCGGTAGAAAACCATTTTCCACCCATAAACACGTTCAGACAAAACAAAAAGATGAAAATCAGAAGATGCCGGGTTAGGGCTGTGAGCGGGGTGGTTGATGATATTCCAACCAAATGAATCCAAGTGTTGCTTTGTAGCATTGGCTGTGTGATGTGCAAAGTCATGCAACAAACACACTCCCTTCATTAACATTCTCCTTTGTTCTGTAGTGGCCTCCATATTGTTTTCAAGGTTTCACAGTATCACGCAGCATTAATTGTTTCCCCCTGAGCAGTGATGTAAGTGAGTCATGTGTCCAGCGCATGACCGATATCGCGACCTGTCATGACCGTCGCGTCACATAGAAAATTACCGTGTCATGACAGTTTCTATTTCTTAAATATTTAAATTATTATTATTATTACTATTTATTACAGTAAAATAAAATCACTTTATAATGTTAATATTAAATTAACATACAGGGTCGGAAAGTCCCCATGGTTCATCGGCCGTTACGTGAGAGCGATAAAGAAAGTCATAGAAATCCGTGTGATAGAGAAAGATGGCTATAATGAAAGCGTCTAATAGTCACCGCCCATTTCGCCCTTCCACAAATAAGATCCACTTCTTATTTGTGGAAGGGCGAAATGGGCGGTGACTATTAGGCGCCTTCATTATAGCCATCTTTCTCTATCGCACGGATTTCTATGACTTACTTTATCGCTCTCACGTAACGGCCCATGAACCATGGGGACTTTCCGTCCCTGTATATTAAATATTCATTGTCAATGCGGTAAGAAGTGGGTTTATGTTCCACCTGGTGACGTTGTGTCCTTAAAACTTAACCAATGGTAATAATTTTTTGCTTTATTACTTTATACCTGTCATCTATAGCCAAAGAACATGTGTTTTTTGTGTTGCTTGTTTTGTAGTTAAAAACTTTTTTGATATTAATTTAGTTTTGTTGTTGAATTTATTAAGGCAATATTGAGATTCAGTAATTTATATTTTAGAAAAATGACTTTTATTTTGCATAGCGAGGGGATAACAACCATTTACATTTAAGTACTATTATTTTTCCTAACTGAAACTATTTATGACGTGTAATGACCGTCATGACCTGGTCATGACGGCTATGACCGTCACGAGTTTAAATGACGGTCATTTTACATCACTGCCCCTGAAAAGTCAATGAGGAGAATCCCTTTATCGTCCCAAAACACAGTTGCCATGATTTTTCGGGCAGAAACAACAGTTTTGAATTTTTTCGCTGATGGTAAAGACGGATGTCACCTCTGCATTGATTGCCTTTTCGTCTTAGGGGTGTAAGGGGTCACCCACCTTTTCGTTGCCAGTCACAATACAGTTAGGGAATTGTTTACCTTCCAGTTTGCAGTGTTCGCTTTGTGTTGATCCGTGAGCCATTTTGGTATCCACCGCACACACAATTTTCAATAACCAAGGGCTGCAGTAATGATCTCATGCAGCAGAGGTCTGCAGATTTGTGAAAAATGCGTTCATTTTGCCAAAATCGATCAACAGTCACTGTGAACCATTTCTTCAATCTTATTCACCATCTCATCAGTCACGATTTGAGGGATGACCACTCCTTTGTCCATCATAAGCATTTGTTCTGCCAGCTTTATACTCACGATTCCACTTGTACACGTTAGTACAATTCATCACACCATATCCATAAACAGTCTTGATTTCGTTAAAAATCTAGAACGACGTCTTTCCTACTGCGAAAAGATATTGAATTATCCTCCTCATTTCGCAACTGGCAAGATTCGGAATAGCGGTATTCATTTCAAAACACCACTGCAACAATAGTTCTCAACTGACTGAAACAAATGACTGCACATTCTATTCCCAACCCCTTGACCTTGAATGCAATATTGCTACTTTGTTGAACATAAAAACCACATAGCTCTTACTTTGTGAATATGCCTCTTATTTGCTATTTCTTACATGTAAATAAGTATTCTATAAGGTTACTTTTTCTTCTGGAAATATTCTTGTCTATATGTCTGTTGCACGTCCATGTATAAACTGATTTGTACTCAAATCTTCAGAGCAAGGGGATAATTTAGTAATACCAAATTAGGGGAACAATTTTTTCGAGAATCGATATAAAAGCAATATTTCTTGTGTTCTATCAAAAAAATATCAGTTCATACATTTCCTTTGCAATCTTAATCTCTATTTTCAACAAGTTTAAAAATGCATTTCTCATTGTCTGAATTATTAAAATTTATGTAATTCGTGCTGAAAGTTATGACAGCTATCCATTTTTATTAAAGCTTAATAAGTGTACTTTTAAAATAAGCAAAATAAGCAATAATAGTTCTACCAACGAAAATATTTGCAATAAATCCTGTACTTTTGACAAAAACTTTTAGCAAATGTATACAAATTATGTCTCTTATAAGTTTTTTAAGTCCCCAATGAAAAACATTTAATTTGTGTTGAAAATTAAGTTCCTTGTATTATGCTTTGTTGTATTACTTCTACCTTTTTTTATTGGGCCGTAATATGTGTACTGTTAAAATAAGCAGTAACAATTATTGTACTAGGGTTGTACCAGATATGAGATTCTCGCCAATGTGAATGCAAATATTTCAAGTTGATTTTGGTAAACACCAAAATGAATATTAACAAATAACTACAAATTAGCTATTAGAAATAAATCAATCGACTTCACTTAATGTATGTGAAAGTAAAATTATGTAGGAAATACAGGGCGTAATTTTAGTACATAAAAATACCTTGTTAACGTTTTAAAAATTATAACGTTTGTGCAAATATTTTATAAGTCAAACATTGGTGGAGATATTGGAGACGAGGTACTAAAAATCTCTAAATTTAGATGCTATTTTAGAAACTCGATTAGTACATTTGATTCCTAATTGTTTTTCATAGAAAAAAAATCTTTTCCATTTTATTTGGAAGCATCTCCTAGCATCCTTGCCACTGGTTGACATGTTGACATGATTATATACAAATTCAATGATGTTTTACCTTTACTTAAGACTAGAGCAAGTTTCTTCAGGCTGTTAAATTTCAAAGATATTTTCATAAGTTGTATTTTTCTAACTCTTTAACATCCTGTATTTCAAAAAGTAGTGTTTTTAAAATAAGTCGATAACAACTTTTTTCTTAAAATAATCACATCTGATATACTTAATCATATCTATAACATACATCCTGTATATCTGGCCCAGGAAAGAAGATAAATGAGATAATAACGAGATTTTTTTTTAAATAAAAAAACAGGTTGGTTATGTTCTTAGGATCTTGTATTTTAAATTACATATTAGCATTTGCTAAAACTATGCAACAAAACAAGCGAATGCAAAGTTTTAAAAACTGGTGCAAATAATTCACAATGTGAATACAAATACTGGAAACATCCCTAGTACCATACCAATAAAAATGTTGGAATAAATCCTGTTCAATTTACCAACCATGTTTACATCTACTAAAACAAACCTTTATCCATTTTAAAATAGTATATAATTCTTGTATTGTATTTGTTAAATAATTCGTGAATCATCGATATTATTTTTATGTTGTAATTTTATTATTTTCTCATTTATTTTTCAATATAGAATGTTTTTTATTTCCTGATAAAAATTTAAAAAATTGGTGAGGTTCTGTGTTTCAGTGTTTTTAATTTGTATGTCATAATGTTTAACATATTTGATTCATATTATTATCATGTACCATCTTAGGCCTGTATAATAAACAGCAAAGCCATTTGTCTACCATAAAAAATTATTATATCATTAAGGGGTAAGACCACTTGACTATATAATTTTCATAAAATCTATTTTTATTTTAATTGATTTAAAAGACTTCAAATCTTCTAGAATACGGGAAAGAAATTTTATACCTGGAAAAATGTTTTTTCTGTTAAAAAGAATTTGCATTCAATTAGAAGCAATTTTAAATGAAAGTACGTTATGAGCCCAGGCTATAGGCCATATAATAATTCAGTCAGGTATAATTCTAATATATTTATATAAAAGTAATATTCTCAAAAGAAAAATATTGGTAATAGAAACAAAGTATAAACTTTTAGCTTAATTACCTGTTTAGCGCACTCTTCAGAAGGCGTGCTATCCCAAATTTCTTGCAGTTTGATGTGTAGATAGTTAACTGAACGGACTGGATGTTTGTGCAACTGGTTTTTTCATTTTATGCTACAATGTTTCTATTGGCAAGAGATCTGGTCTGCTAGAGGGCAACTCCATAAAAGAAACATTGTTTCTGTTACCTACCAATATTTTTCTTTAATAAAATAGTTTAGAGAGTGTTAGTACTTTTATTGTAATATATTAGTAGTAAAATTATACCTGGCCGAACTATTATAAGCCTAGGCTTGTATAGCATATTATATCTCTAAACTTTTTTTTTCGGAACACGTTTTTTTTTTTAAACAATTCCTACAATTTTTATTCTATTCTCTTAAAATTTTGACCATATCTTTAAAATAACATTTCGAACATATGGGATTTTTGATAAGTTGATTTTAACATTATTTATTGACAAATGATTGCCCCTTTTTTGTTAAAAATTTAACTTTATTCTTCAAATGCTAGCCAATCACACAGGAACTGATGTTATCAAAATACCCTACGTATTTCTCTAACTATATTCATGTAAATTAAAAGATTTTTTTTTCCATATTCAAATTTGCGTCAGTTACACTGCATGCCGCAGAGTGACTCAAATTTAACATACGAGATTGGTCCAGCCTCCTCATTTTGTGATATTTATCAGTAAATATATTTTTTGAATGCTTCAAGATATGGTTAATAAAAACCTTCAGTATTATTGTCCTCTTCCTATTTCTTCCAATTAAAAAAAAATTGCGGAAAAATGCTGTATTTTAGCATTTTACAGTGGTGTTACCCCTTAACTGAAAAGGAAGGAAATATTTAACAGTGAGTAAAAATGCAAATTTAAAATTTATACACAGTGACTGCTGCATTTTGAAAAATTATGTTCAATTACATCAATTTACATATAAGTACAATGATAGACAATAAAGGTTCACACCAAAAATGTACGAAAATGTACAAAGAAAAAAGTAAAGGATTTTATGACCTAATAGTAGTGATTGCTAAATGAGAGATCATTTAAAAACCACTAAATTATTGGAGAATGTAATTAGTCACCTTTGGTCATTTATCGACTGATTTATTAAATAATAAATAATGTGTTTCTTTTAATTGGTCTTTTGTTATAGCTGTTTTACATTGACAATTTATTCATGAATAAATTCACGAAATTCTGCATCAATTAATTCACGAATTTATTTGTAAACAGTTTGGTTTTACACTGCTACAGACTTTGTGAATTTCTTTGACACATGAATCAGCTCTACCAACAAATCAAAGAAGCAAATAAATTTCAAATATGTCACTTTTCCACTCATAATTGTAGTGACACATATTATATAAATATTAGTTTTTGTAAGTAACAAATCAGTAAAAACAATACAAAACTAGTAGGATGCCACACAATTATTTACATACTTCAATAACATAACCTCATTACTGATCTGAGGCTGGAAATTTGTTGGGTTGGTACTTCTGAACTTCACGAAGAAATTGACGGAAATTAGAACATTTTCTAATTCGTCAAGAACTTGATGAATAAATTCATGAAGTTATTTGACAGCAGATTTGGTGTCAAATAACTTTATGAATTAATTAATTAATAAATTGTCAATGTAAAACAGCTTTTATTCTTACTCNTCAAAGAAGCAAATAAATTTCAAAAATGTCACTTTTCCACTCATAATTGTAGTGACACATATTATATAAATATTAGTTTTTGTAAGTAACAAATCAGTAAAAACAATACAAAACTAGTAGGATGCCACACAATTATTTACATACTTCAATAACATAACCTCATTACTGATCTGAGGCTGGAAATTTGTTGGGTTGGTACTTCTGAACTTCACGAAGAAATTGACGAAAATTATAACATTTTCTAATTCGTCAAGAACTTGATGAATAAATTCATGAAGTTATTTGACAGCAGGTTTGGTGCATTACACTTGTTCAATTTCTTGATGTAAGGACTTCATGAATTAATTCATCAATAAATTGTCAATGTAAAACAGCTTTTATGCTTACACATTTCAAAATTGTTTCTGCACTACCTTCTCATTCTGGCTGTTTGTCCCACAAACTGGCTTTTACAAAAATTGTGTTGTACATACCTTTTTTCCATTATTTAAAAAAATTTAAATGCTAAATGTTATCTTTGACCATATAAAATTATTATTTATAACTACATATAAATACTGATTTTGAAGGAATGATTGAAATATGTAGAGGGAAAGATTGGTCATTTTGGTCATTTTTGGTGACTGTCATCACTACTTATTATTATTATTATTTTTTCTATTGTTAAATTTCAAATGTTTATGCCATTTAACAGGAGAGTGAAAATACATTTTTAAGATGCACATAGTGTACTACACTACGTGCGTTTTTAGTAAAAATTAAATTTTAATTGTATTTTCTCCACATTATTTGAATGATCAGTTTCTCATGTTTACCAAATATTTTAGAATAAGGTTACTGTTGTAGCATTAATTAAATAAAATATATTTTTTGGTATTTTTTTTATTTTATTTTACAACTTCCTTACAAAATATTTCCGAATATACAAATATATTTTTGTAAACCTTTATTTATGCCAAAATTTACAGTTTTATTATATAACAGGTATTTTATAACTACATATATAATAATTTAGTAATATGTACAATAATAATGTTATTTGGTTTCCTATTGCCTACATTTAGAAATGAAGTGGTAAGTGGTATGTAAAGTTAATGCAGTGCCTTTTAGAGTCATACTTATTCCTTATATTCCTCCCAGGAGCACATATTAGCTGTTCTGTGAAAATCGAGTTATGTAAACAGCCAATAAACTCTCCCCGTTTCAAGTCCATGAGTTTTGCGCACAATGAAAAAAGAAACGATGCTATGAATAATGAAGCAAAATTTGAATAAGATAGTTATATTTTCATCACTATTAATTTCAGAAAAAAAATATGAATTGCTAAAAGAAAAGTGAAATTAAAATGAAAAATAAATGGCAATTATAATCCATTTTGCTTACAATTTTCTAGAATATTTTAACGTAAAGAGGTTTATCTGATACAGAATTGACAAACAAATATTCATGAAAAAATTAATATAAGCTTATTAATATGAAGAAAATTCTCAAAAAAAGTTATGACTAGTTTGGATACCCAAGAGACGATATATTAATAAAATAATTTTTTACGATTTAGTATGAAGTCTTATGAGAATGCAGATTTTTTTTGTCTTTCCACTTAGAATGCCCAACAATTGACGAACAGTTTCCACAGCAACTTGGAAACCGATATTAAAGGACCATATGACAGCTCTTAGAAATCGATTAGGTACTTGTAAGATACATAATTTATAATAATTCTCCTTCAGACTGCTGTCGTTGACTAACTTAACCTCCGTATGCGTGACAGCGGCAACGCCGTGGTTCTCGACGTAGTGTATTATTTGAAATTCGCAGGTGTGGCATATGAGTGAACGTCGAGCCGAGCGCGCCACCCAAGTGCAACGTTGCCAAATCTAAAGGCTTACTACTTTGGTCACTAGCGAATTTACAGAAACTCTCATTTGACTTTAGACGTACCTGATAAACCTCCTTAAGTATCTTTTGCTAAAAAATTAATTAAAAATAATTTAGCTATTATTTAGTATGTTCAGTTACAATGTCGAAAAGCAAAAGTATATTTTCTGTATTTGATTTTTCCATTGCTATGCAATTACCATTTCAAAATTATACCTGTTATATTCCTGGACAAAATTATTGTATCATTTTTAAATTATGTCTAATTATGACTAAATAGATTTTAATTTTATTTCAAATTCTGATGTCAATAAACGATTCAAATGTCTTTTAAGTAATATAATTGAATACATTTGTTAAATGAGTTTATTTATTAAAATAGGCTGCTACAATTTCACGGAGGAATGAGAAAAAATTATTGAATTTAAAATAGAAGTGGAACATCTGCATATATAAAAAATAATTTATTGCAATCTTCGTCTTGCTCTGCTGTTTTTTTTTTCAGAAATTAACATTAATGGTGGTATTAGGGTAATTATAATTAACTCTCTTTCCACAAAACTGTATACACAAATATCCACTATCAGTATCTATATTAAATATAAATATGTAATTAGAAATATGAATTGGTTAACAAGAAATAAAATATGATGAACTATCCTTTGTACACTGGGAATCTGAGAATTAAGTACATTCTATGAATTGCCAATTGCCATGAATAGGTTAGAACAGAAAGATCGTCACTCCGATTTCATTAAAGCATTTAAATGGCTAAAAAAAAATTTTTTTTCACGCCTCCTGCCTATGTATCATGAATGTACTGATTTCTCAAACGGCCTGTATGTTACAACACAATATAATTTTATCGAACTTTGGTTAAATAAAAATCTCAGTAACTTTGATATGGGCACAACATTACATTTCGCATAAAAAGATTATTCCATTATTTAAATTCTTTCATACATACAGCCTCCACGCAACGACCATGTAAAAAAATAGGAAAGAAGCCATATATACAAAAATAAATTAACGCAACATAAATATAGAACTTAAGGTAGTGTCAGTTGAGTCAGTTAAAAATAATATGGATTATATTTTACAATGATAATAAACTAATAAGTTGAGGCACGTTATATTCAAGTGATCACAAATAAGTTTTCTTGGCTGTAATTTCTGAACTGATTCCTTGTATTTAATGTACAATAAACAAATTATGACTCGTCTTGAACTTCTTTCTGTACATAAAGGTATTTCCTTATAAAAACGCAATACTATCGACGAATTCACTTGGGCTGGTTGTTGTAATCCACATAAACTCGCACCACTTCCCCAGAGTACTTCCTCTGTGATGGCATGAAGTAGAAATCAGGCTGCATATCATGACTAGGCCTGTTACTTCTATCGTACGCTGTCCTTGGCAAGGAAAACGTCGCCCTCTCCATGTTTGTGGAGGGATACGCCCCCCTTGGTCTTTGCAGAGACCTGGTGTCTCCCATATACCCAGCACCTGGTGGCTGGGTTGGGATGCTTGGAGGCCTGCTCTGAGGTCTCTGGGGTCGGGAATTGTGTTTGGCTGGCAAAGTTTCACTGCGTTCACGGTCATTGCGAGCTTTCCCATTCATTTGTTTCTTGTTATCCTCTGCCTCGAAAGCATCAAAAGCGTAGTTGGTGTTGGCGGAATAATCTTTCCATGCTGAATTTGGTATCAAATGGTCCTGCAATAGAACGTGGAAAAAAGTTACATTAATTTCTTAAATTAACTGCATGTCATTTAGAAGTATAGAAATTTGAAGTTACATTGAATTACTTCTCAGTCAAACATAGGCACATATTTTTTTTTTGTAAATTAACAATTGTCTATGAATTCCAACGATGGTGAGTGAGATAAGTGGGAAAATGTTATATTTAATTATAGTGAACTAAATATTTTTCAAAGAAACAACGAAAAAATATTTAAAAAACATCTTAATTTCTCACTTAACTAATATATTTTTATGATTTTATGTGACAACACAATTTTGAATAGAATACGTGTATAATATTGTGGAAATAACTAGAAAGCATTTTCAACTGGAAAAAATATTTTTTCTTTTCGGAACTCTCCTAATTCCTTCACTGGAAAAATGGCATGTTCATCTTTAGTTGTAAAATATATTTTCAGTTCGTCTTGTAGATATATGATTTTACATATATCCAATTTTATTCAAAATGAACACAAATTATTTTTTTTTAGTTGCTTTGTTTAAAATGCATGCATTATTTCATTATTATTTTCAAAATATTATTTATTAAGTGAAGTACCATTTTTTTCTAGTATTTTAAATATTTTTAAGTATTTACAAAAAATGTTGCATGGAAATTAAATTAATTGATAAGAATAAAGACTTGATGTTTTTCTCTAGAGAGAAACAATGTCACTTTCATGAGAGGAAATTTTTATAACCACAATCGCAGATACAAGCATATGAGTAATATATTTTACCGACAAGTGTGCTGGGGAATAAGTAATGTCTGTTTTTTTTTCAAATTACAATTATCAATAGGCTATTCTCCATCGTTATGAAAAATGCATCTTACCAAGCTCTTAACTCATTGTCCTTGTTAAAACAAACACCGCGTAAGGAGTTTGATGAAGAGCGGAAGAAGTGAAAATCAGAAAGCGCTAGATCGGGAGAGTAAGGCGGATGGGGTAGAACTTCACAATTCAAGTCCAGAATAGCCCTTTTGGTCATTTTGTCGATATGCATTCATGTTACAAGAGAACATTATATCGCCGATCAGATCTTTTTTGTTGAATAGCTGCATGGAGTCGCTGTAGTTGTTGGACATAGAGTACTGCGTTGACGGTTTTATTGTTTCGTAAGAGTCCGTATTAGAGAATCCTTTACCAATCCCACCAGACGCATAACATTAATTGTCTTTCAAGGATGAAGTTTTAGTCTTGTTCGCGGAGTTGCTTGGTTTTTCATCCCGCTGTTTCAAGTTCATGTACAGACACCATTTTTCATCACTAGTGACACTGACAATACATGTTGATCGATGACGACAGAACAAATCTGCTGCAATTGCGGAGTGTTGATTCTTACTGTTTTCGCTCAAAACCAAAGCGCCGAGTCTTTGAACTTTTCCCATCGAATCCAAGTGGTTTACAACTGTTTTGTGATCTCATACCATCTCCTGAACCAATTCCCTTGTCGATTGTTTTGGATTTTTGTGAGGAAGTCGATTTAATTGCTCTTCATCAAATTCAACTGAGCGTCCAGAACGATTCATGTCTTTAAGGTTAAAAATCATTTTTAAAACGCAAAAACTATCGATGGGCCGTTTGTTTATTCATCGCATCATCACCATATACGACAATTTCCCGAGATACTTGAGAGGCTTTAGCGTTTTCCCCGTCTCAATTAAAGAAAAATAAAATGAAGCAAGTGCCGAAAATAATCAATGATTTTATCAACTTGTTATTTCATTTTTCAACCAAAAACACAATTTGATAGAGCAATAAGTTCTCCTTCGAATGACGTGCCAATTTGAAAATGCGTTTAATTTTCTTGTGAATTTTTAAATTTGAAAAAAAAAAACGGAGATTACTTATTCGCAAACCCATTATATACTCTCTCTTTTGTGTATTTCCAATTAACTCTCAAAATGATGAGTTGGAATAAAGAAATTATTAGAGCGCCTCCAAATTAACGGATAAATTTGATTACAACCAGAGTATTTTTTTGAGGAAAACATTGGTCACTTCAATTTTAATTTTTTGTTACAAATTGTTTAGTAAGTATTACACACAGAATATATAAATACATAACCCGAGTAGAAATTACATCACTGGCGACTTTTTATTGGTAGTAATCATACTGTTTTTGAAAACGAAGCTTTTATGCTTAAATAAATTTGTTATCTGATTATTTAGAATTTTATGTAGATGTCAAAAGGCATGCTGTGTGGTAGATGAAAATTAATCGGTAAATGATTTTGATGTCGATAAAGTTTTTTAAGTTATCTGATGTTATTTTTTCAAAGCATTTCAACTTAAAACTGAAAAAATCCTTTCAGGATAATTGTTAACTACACTTTTTGTTCAAATTAAAGGAGTTTATCAGCAGGGCAAAGTGCCCACTACCAAAATCATTTATTCATATATTCTCTAAATAATCCTTTTATTTAAAGTATCATTTTAAGAAATTTTAGATCTGAAATCAAAAACTGAAGTTCTCGGGTTGATAGTGGCAGTGTCTCCCAATATCTCCGCTAGGGGTTGTCATAATTCAGTGAATTCTTATTTTATTTAATTAATATTTATTTCACTTGCCCAAGATAATTAGCATTTATTATTATTATTTCATTAGCGTAACATAAATATAAGTATTTCTTTTAATTTAACAGTTTATATTTTGAAAACTAAGTAGTTTAGAACATAGATTTATACGAACATTTTATCTTAAATTAATCTAAGGAATCGCCCCCCTAATATTATTGGGTCAAAAATTGGTAAATTCAAAGAGTTTAAAAGTTCATTTGTGTTACAGACAAGTACATTTTATTAGTGACAACAATCAAGTGTTTCATGCAGGAGTGCTTAACAGTGAGAGTGCAGAATATTAGTTTGACTCACCCCACTGGGCCCTGACCATGGGAAATGGCAGGGCTGCATTTACCAATGCCTAGATCGGTCGATGGTGTTCAGTGCCCAGTGGGGCAGTTCGCGTGTCTGATATGAGCCCTGATGGTAATAAACTTGATCCAGCTGCACATTGTATACCCTCTACCAGTACCAAAAAGCATGATAATAAGTTACATGATACATATACGAGTGCGTGTTTGCCTTAAAAATTAGGGTAAATGGGGTACATTTAAATTCAGGGACCTTTAGAAACAAAATTTATATGAACAAGGTGAAAATCTATGAAAATTATGAACGAAATATTATGGAATGTATTTTGAATTATAACTGAGATTGTCTCATGAATAGAAACAGGTAGTTATGAAGATACTAAAAAAAAATTACGACAATATTTTTTTACAGAAAAATACTTTCCTAATCCTTAGAAACCACCAAAGAATTTGATTTTTAAGACAAATTCAACTAATGAATCAGAAACTTGATACCTAACTCCTTTTTTTATTTTGCAAATTTCGTTAGAAATTTTTTTGTGAAAGAACTTTTGTATGTGAAGCTGAAATCAGGTCCTAAGAAATTATATATTGCCATACTTCATTGTAATAATATGATGCCTTTAATTTCGCGAGCTGTAACTGATTGATTTAGTAGTAGAAGCACTTATTTTTTTTAATGGAACCCATAGTTGGCTATGATTTAGAAAGATAAGATGTTTTCATATTTGAATAATTTTCTATTCAAATAATATATATTTTTATATTTAGCAGAAATTATTGACTGTAATAATAAGGAATTTACATTTAGTGACTGAATCAGATTATATGAAACCTGGAAGAAAGAAGAAAAATGTTTTTTTATAAATAAATTAATTTTGTTTAAAAGCCAACAAAGCCAACTACCTATATCTAGTTAGACACTTAATTATCTACCCTGTATTTCCCTTATTTTTAGAAAAAGTATATTTACGTATCTTTGGAAAGCTGAAAAAATTCTCAATCTTTCTAGGTCATAGCAAACTATGATTTCCATTACTAAAATATATAAATTTTCCTACATAATTTCGTAAATACTTATTTAACACCAGAAATACAGTAGTGGTGCTCGAGAATGTCAAGAAAATTATTATAGCACTCTATAACTCGAAAACGAATAAAGGTATAAAATATCTGATTTAACATTTCATCTTGAATTTGTGTTAAAACTCGAGATCAAGATAGTACGTTATCAGATTTTTGTATCAATAATTTCTGAGATAGTTACCTTGAAATTTCGTTGAATCTGATTCACTCTGTACAAAATCTTTCTGGAAGGATTAGTATGTAACTACTACTCTACTTATCTACTACTAGGCAGAAGTTCTATTTTTCTATTTTTTTTTTTTTTTTTTGATTAAATGTGTAGATCTCATCTAAACTAAACTAAAACTGGGTTATTTAGAAGCAAAATTGTACCTATATAGATAAAGCATTCGTTTTTACAACGCCATTTCTAAATTAATACAATAATTACATAATTATCTTAGAGCATATTATACTACATACTATATAGAGGAATCACTAGGTGTTAAAAAGTGTAGACACTGTAAAAAGAAACGTGATAGTTTGGGCACTTGCTCTCTGTCTCTTAATTTTATTTGAATATCACGAGGGAGTTGTGCTAGCCAATCACATGCCTGTGCAAGAGAGAAAAATAGTACAGTACCCAAACTATCTCTTTCACTCTTTGTCACTCCTCTACACTGTCGTCGTAAGCGTGCTTCCTCCATATTACCTACATATATATGCTCTAAGATAATTATCGTCAGACATTTCAATTTTGATTATAGAAACCCTTCTGAAAATGTCACACTACTATGTTCTAATCAATCAAATATTGTTAAGACGTTGCAAAAAAGAAATTTAGATTTCTCTTAGTGTAGATGCCCAGTATGAAATTACATTACAAGTTTTTTGACATTTGAAATGATATCCTCTTTATTATATTTGATAAACTGTTTCCATACACTTACTTTTGATTGTTTTGATAATGCTTAGATTTTAAATATTGGACTTTTTATCTAATTTTAGTTTGCTTTTCGAAACAAAGTATTTTAGGTAGTCGTTGACTAAACAATTAACATCAATGTGACATCAATAAAAAATCAGCAATGGTAAGGCTTTTTTTCAAAACTTTGATTCCAGTAAAATTGTATTGGGACATGTAGGTACTGGTCAAACAAAACAATACCTTTAAAATAATTATTTACATAAATACAGGGTGATTCACAACTTATCCAAAAAAAATTGGGAATAGATGCGGCATGAGAAATGGAGTCAATATTGTAAAAAAATTTTTTGTAAAACCCTTATAGTTTCTGAGAAAAAAATTATTGAAATTATAGCACATTAAACCACTACATAGCTGGACAACTGTAGTCTCTAGCGTCATTCGCAATACGCATGGAGAGCCATGTGACTCCTAATACTGAAATCCGTCGTTTCGGTAGTTTTTACCTGTTATCTGTGGTATTTACATCAGTTTTTTAGTAGTTAGTGTCAAAAATGGCTTGCGTGTATAACAACTCAGAGTTGATGGATATCGTTTTAATATATGGTGAAGCAAGACAACATTTGTATTATGGTGAAGTATTTGTGTTATGGTGAAGCAAGACATCATTTGTGTTAGTTCGTAGAAAGTGAGTAAGACGGACCCAAATGTGTTTACACGTGAGTGGATAAAATTTTGAACAATTGCTGTTGCAGCATCGGGTATGTCAAATGATTTTATTATTTAAAAACACAAATTAATTTTATTAATAATTAATAAAGGCAAAAGCATTTGAATTTGCCGATATAAAATAGGTGCGATAAAATTCTATTTACATATTTCTTTCCTTGCGAAAGTTTTTGTCCGTTTTTATCACGCCGCCATACCGGTCGCATTGTGCGAGGTCAGGTTTTACAGTGGACCAGTTTCCAGTGCCGTGCAGAAGTGTATTTTTAAATCAATTTCGAACTGACCTTTTTGATTTTTTCTTTACAAAATTGTATTTGTAAGGGTCCCCTGTACATCCAGAATTTTTCTTTTGGATAAGTTCTGAATCACCCTGTATAATAAAAACCGTAAATATAACCCTTTGCAAACACAATTATATTAATAATAATACTGCTATTGATGATAAATATCAATAAATATGTGATACAACATGAAAAATAAATTATACAGAAAGTTGTTCATCCCATTTTTTTTACAGTATTTTAGAAAAACGAAATGATCTCATGTGTTTGATTAAATTCTGTTGAATGTTGAACTTCATTTTATTGAACTGAAACTACATAAATTAAACAATTTAATCCACAAAAAACGAGTTTCTCAATTTCATCAATTACCAAACCAGTTCCTTAGAAAATAGCGAAGCCGCCGTTCCAAAATCAGCCACACAAAGCGATTGAAAAGCTTGCCAGGCGCAATTCAGCAAATATTAAAGTTAATGAACCTACTTGCTCTCAGTGGAGCTCGCAGTAGTCACAGCAAAGAGTAGCATTCACAGTGATGTTACCTTATGATTGGAGGACGCTTTGCTGCTGGCTTTGTAGATGGTGCAGCTGGCCTGGACGATGGCCACGAAGACGAGGGCGGCGATGCATCCAAGAACGATGTACAGCTTGGCCTCTGAAAGGTTGAAAAAGCCGTTGTCTTCGTTCGTGGAGGCGTCGGGTATGATATTTGAAGTCACTGAAAATAATCATTATTCAGTAAAAAACGAGAGGTGGTGAAAAACATATCTGGTATAAGACAACGATTTGTTATAAGTACAGAATTTACATTGTTTTCAATCAATATACATATTTGTTAATTATTAATATACTTTCCCGTCATAAAGTAAAAGTACAATAAATAAAATTTAAAAGTATCCAAAATAAATAATAGACACATAAGTATGTTGTGTTTACTGGTCCCTAATAAAAGATATTTAACTTTTAATCCTTTTTAAGTAAAATTTTCAGAAAAATATCCACTAAATATTTAAATTAAGCATGCATAAATAATTTATTTAACTCACGGCTTTGCGGTTCAAAGACCAAATATTGTGGGTCGACTTTGAGATTTCCCACGCGACCAGAGCCAATGCTCTGTTGCAGAAGTTTATGGACTTGCTCATCCATACTGTCTTCACCATCGAGGGAACGACCTTTTTCGGCAATTGCTTTGTCCAGTTGCAAATTTATTGTGGCCACGATGTCGTTATCCTCACTGAAAAAAAATATGTACTTACGTAATTATAATACTTCTAATATTGGATGGTAATTTCAGTGAGTACATTTTTGTGTTCCTCTGATGATGATGGTTAATACCCTATTGTCGGTTCAAAAAATAATACTTACGATTTTATATTTTCTACTATAATTCGCCTATATCCAGGCAACTTAGTAAAGACTGGTTTAAAGTTGTCCCCAATGGAATTGGATAGGTCTTCATACTGTAAAGACCCAGGTGTTGGCAAATTAAAGTTTTCACCCAAGTCTACCAATTTGACTTGGACATTGTAGCCCAAACCAGGTGCTTCTGTTGTGGTTAGGAATTCATCAAATACGTCATCTGAAAGAAAAACCGGGGACCATGCTTAACTTCACAATCCTAAGGAAAAATTCAGATATTTGCAAAAAACAAAGAGCGGGTTACTTTTTTAATATTTCCTTCATCTAACTTTAGTTAGAACTGTTGAAATATTATTACAAACTAAAAACATATGAGGTTCCAATTTGTTTCCACTAATTTTTGCTTTTAATGAGGAGAAGTACATACATAAAAGGTGGGTTAATAAAACAAAAAAAAAAATGTGAAAACCAAAATAACCAGTGACTACATCTGTTAATATTGGCTTTCATATTTTTAATTATTGATATATCTGTATCCAGTGTTTTTATTATTCCTGAAATTTTCTAACTTTCAAATTTATTGTGCTTTTGACTAATAAATATGACCTACATCTTTCAGCAAATAGGATTTTAGTTAACTTACCATTTCCGCAGGATCTGATACAGATCCTCTCGGAAGAAATAGTCGGCACTTCTTCGTGTTTACGGATCTTCTTGTTCACGCTATTGAAGGCACCTCCTTTGACGGGGAACATCATGAACAAGCAGTGATCATTTGTGAACGATAAGTCTTTGGGATCATTTGTAATTCTCTTTCGAAGGAAAGATAGTGTTGTAGTTCCATCAACAATCCTTCCACTCGTATTGAAGATGTTTTGGGAGGCGTCAAGGAATGGCTGAGTGTATCCAGATATCCAGGTATCCATTAGGAAAGGCCTTCCCGTTTTGTCGACCCAGCCAAGAATAGCGTCAGTTTGGGACTGAAAGATAACGGAAATTTAATCGTAGTTATGAGTGTAAAATTATTTCAAAATACATTAATGTCAAAGATTTTAGTATAATCTTTTCCAACTAGATATTTTAAATGGTCTCAATCAGTAATATTTAATATACAGTGTGGACCATTTTGGTGATGTATCTATGGGTATCTTGGAAACTATAAGAGATAGGAAAATGGTTAAATGGGGAAAGTTTTAGATTCTTCTGTCGCTAACTTAGTGGCGCTTGCAGACCGGTCCTAGCTTTTCAGGTTTTCGAGGTATTTTGAAAAAAATTAAATGTACTTTCGAAAATCGTCTGTAATTTTTTTATTTAAAGGAAATCTGAAAAAATTTTTTTACAACAGGTTTTTTTGAGGAATTTCACTGTAATTTAGATTTTTATTGCGATGTTTCGGTTGTGAGAAACTATCATCAACTTTCCTTTTTCTTGTGGGCGTCATATTGAATTTTAAGCTGAGCAAATAGAGTATTTGTTTGGCTTTTTAATGATGTAATACAAGTAAGAAAGAGTTTCAAAAACAACCTCAAAAATCAATATTTCAATATTTTTAATAAATCTGGCAACGCCGCATAATTTTTCGAAACTATTATATAATAGTCTTAAATTTTTGTAAAAGCTTATCATTAATGTCATGGTGTTGAGCGAAAAAATTATTAATTATTAATTATTTCAAGGGAGAAATTGATTAAAAAAATCTGAACTTTTGTGTATGAATAATAAAATACTATAAATGAGCGCAATTAGAGTTGAATCATCATTCTTATTAAATCCTTCTTCCACTCACCATTTTTTCGTCATTAGAAAATGCAATCCCAGTCCAGGTGTCGGTATGTTTTGTCGTTATGGTAAATCTAATGGTGTCCTTTCTCGGTATTAATTCCCATTTAGCTGAATATTCACACGTATTATTTTCAGGACTGCAGTCTCGCGGTACTTTCCAAATTCCACCACATTCTGTATTTGCGGCAGTATCGCTGGTAGCTGCTGCACCAGCTGGTGATACCATTTTTTTCTCATCTGAAAAGGAAATTGTTTATAGGTTGTTACAGTTATAATTGTCTTGTTTGCATCAAACTGGGATTTTCATCTGGTTAATAGAATCTTAACATACACATATATGGCTTATTGGTAATTTTTACTACATTTTTTTCAAAACATGAGTAAAATGTTCAAGCAAACAGCACCAAAGGAAGACATTCGAATAATTCCACAATAAGACAATTTGAAACAAATAAATACAACTTGTAAATATTGTTTGTACTATTTACCTTAACCTTAACTTAACCTTAACTTTTCAATATATTAAGTGCAATACATTCATACATTCATTATTTTTCAGATGTATTAGTAATTTATTATGATTAATGATATCAAATGCTTTAGCAAGATCCAGGAAAACTGGAAGACATTTTTTTATTAGAGTCTAAATGATTAATTATTAATCTTGTGTACAACTAATTCTATAAGAAATATTAATAAATATACATATGTAAAATACATATTTTCGTTCATTTCATTTGTTTACTTACCGAAGAAATTTAAAGCAACAACTCCTCTCTGATCCTTATGCCCATGATACTTCAGCTCATCCGGCCTGTAGAAATCTTTAACAGATGCTGCCGGTGATTCCACTCCAGATTTTGGAACATGAACGTATTTGCCCTTCTCCTGACCTTGAGCGAAGATTACATGCATCAGTTCCTGTTCAATGGAATGATCCGACGGTTCCTTTGCTTCCAATTTCTTCCTGAAGAGAATGGTGGTCACGCCATCTTTCTCAAAGCCCATAGCGGCAGTTAGATCATTTTTGCCTCCCCAGAAACTGTCCATTCTAGGAGTTGACCTGTCTCTAGTATAATAGTCTGCTATTCTGCTTGCAGTACCCCTTGCCGACCCAATGACGATATCGGTGCAGTCCATGGGACTGAAGTCATGTCTGGGCGTGTATGGGTTGAGGTGTTCGTCTGATTCTGCTGTTTTGGAAAGAGTTTAATTTTCTCGAGATTGGTTTTACGTTTTGTTTGAATTAATTTTTTCTACTGTACAGGGTGTAACTTTAAGTGGGGATCAGTTTTTAGGGAAATAGTGTTCCCCACAATATTAAACTGAATTCATTAATTATTTACATCAAATATTCGAATTATAATTCATGTTTTAACTGCATGTAAACTTTTACTACGCCGCTACTGGGCATCAATATTTACTAATCTGAAATGTTTGAAATATTTTTAATAAAAATAGTTCGTTTTTTGTTAAAGATCTGTGTTTAGTTTGTGAATCTCAGTGGCATTAATTTGGTTGAGGGTAGAGGTAGGTAACTTCTTGTGTGAAATATTAGCTTGTACTAGAGTCCAAATAGAATTTGTATAGTGCAATGTTGTGTTTTGTATAGTGTAAGTACTTTATAAAGTTATTTATTTCAATATTTACTGATGCTACGGCGTGTTTTCATTGTTAAGTTTCTTTGTGACGCTAGTGTTTGTGGTTGCATTACTTTGTTCAGTGGAGTATGAAAATTACGAATAAATGGCTAAACAAATTCAGTTTTCATAATGGAATTTGAGAAAACAAACATATGATATGTGTTCCTAATGGTCAAGCCACCGTGTAAATATGACCATCCTTTCAAAGTTACACCATATATTTACTAAAAGATTTTTGTGACTAATAGGCCAATTAAATAAGCCTTTAAATCGAAATTTTCGTCAACTTGCCTGAATTTTTGATATGAGTTAGTTTGAGGTATGTTATAACGATAAGTGACAGTAATTTTTTGTTCAACCCCCGGTCAAGGGTGAAAAAAGATAAAACAAAAGTTTTTTTCAAGATAACTCAAAACGGGTAAGGGCTAGAAAAAAAAGTTTCGTATAAAAGTTGTAAAGCATATAATTCTACATAAAAATGGCCTTTTGACTTTTCTTGTATTATTAAAATTAACAGAGTTAGGGAGGCTAGAAGATAAGAAAGAGAAATGAATGAATTTTGTAATTTTTTTCGATCTACTCTAAAAAATGTAACCTTTCTTTTCAGAGAAATATATGTATTTTTTTATTTTTAATAAGAAAGTTATAACAATTTCAAATTTGTTGCTCACCCCCCCTAAACAGAAACGAAAACCTCGAAACAGATCAATTTAATTTTGTCAATTTGTTTACATAAATCATATTTTCAATTCTTTTTGACTACATATGATTTTTTTATAAATAAAAAATATAGTTTTTCTGAAATATAAAATAAGGGTAGCAACCCCCAAACACGGAATCACTTGCGAAATATTTGTTTTTTATCATAAGTAATTTCCATTTTGTTTCATTTCAAAATATTGGATTAGAACCACAGAAATTTTGAAAAAACTGTTTTGGGGGGCGAACTTTGAGGGTGTATTTCACCCCGTATATATGTTTTCCCGCCGATAAAAAAATACGTGTCTATACATTTTTTAGAGTAGATTGAAAAAAAATACAAAAATCATTCGTTTTTCTGCTTGTTATGATTTTTTAAAATTTCTGAAATATTAACTAACATATCAAAAATTCAGGCAAGTTGACCAAAATTTCGATTTAAAGGCTTATTTAATTGGACTATAAAGAAGCAGCTAATTTATTCCATTTACCTCAGAAGAAAAAATTTTCTACCTAAATTAATAATACAGTGAACAATTTAATTTGTTCATGCAAGTACAATTTTTTTCTTTTTATTCAGACTTGTCGGAGAAATGTTTGGTATTGATAAACGCTTACCATTTTTTATAATCTATGCTGTACATTTATAAATGTGTAATGGGTATCTATTTTTTAAGTTTTTAGTATCAACTGCTACAAATAGGAAGTAACTGCTACAAGTAAAAAGTAACGTCTATCTAAATTGAAAGAGTACAACTGAGGTCCAATGCGTACGAAATTATTAGTAAATTCAGTATATTTTTTCTTAAATGTGTTGGTGTACTATGTATACTTAAAAATATATGAAAACCAGGTCAACCTATTGTTGATTTCATTAAAATAGTATTAGTTAAGTGCTTTACTATACCTGAACTACTTCCAAGTGGTGCAACATGGACTTTGAAAAAGGGTATTTCGGAAACAGGAGTTGGTTCTGGTTCAGATTTGGGCTCAGGTGTTGGATGAGGTTCTGATGAAGGTTCTGGTTCAGAAGAAGGCTCAGGTTCTGAGGAAGGTTCGGGTTTTGGTTCAGAAGAAGGTTCGGGTTCAGAGGAAGGTTCAGGTTCAGAAGAAGGTTCAGAGGAAGGTTCGGGTTTAGAAGAAGGTTCTGGTTCAGAAGAAGGTTCAGGCTCAGAGGAAGGTTCAGGTTCAGAAGAAGGTTCAGGTGCAGGTTCTGAGGCAGTTTCTGGTTCCAAAATATGTTGTGGTTTAGTACTAAACCTCAAGATATATTTAGGAGTGGAAGAACTGGAATCTGAAGCAGATACCGGCTCAGAAACTGGTTCGGGTTCTGGTTTGGATGTGGGTTCGGGTTGTGCTGATGGTTCTGATTTAGGTGCAGGCTCACCTGTTGGCTCTGAGGATGGTTCTGGTTCGGCGGATGGTTCATATTTAGGTTCCGGTTCAGGGTTAGGTTCGGAAGAGGGTTCTGGTTCGGATTTTGGTTCAGAAGAGGTTTCAGGTTCGGCAACTGGTTCTGGCGTTGCGTCTTGGTCTTGACTTTTTGGTTCTGGTTCAGAGGTAGGTTCCGGTACGGGTTCTACAAATAGATTAACAGACCAACCACCATTAGAGTCTAACATAGTCATTATTGTACTCGTATGCTTTACAATTTCGGGTGTAAATTTGTATATAGATAATACATATTATCAGTACTTTAGTTGAAATTACTAACATAGCAAAAAATATAGAGTGAAACTATTTATGTGTCATAAAGTACGATATTTTACAAAGTGCTATTTACCAGTGTAAAGTTGTGTAGCTGAGAATATTGTAAACAATTAAATTACCTTCAGCCTGTCTTTTGCTTCTTCCTGAAAAGAAAAACATCCTAGTGTCAGGTTCTTCGTAAGTAAGTTTAACTTTATACAAGAATATATTTACCTTGTTTCTTACTAACTTGGAAAGATACACTGGTCTCAACAATGTCCGCGTGGGGCGGAGCAGTTTGAATGGCAGGTGTAGGAGAAGCAGATCTTCTTGAATACAAAGATTTTTTATAGCTTTGTTCCGGTGCACTGCCAGGTTCCGGTGCACTGCCAGGTTCCGGAGTTGGTTCTGGTTCGCTGTTTGGTTCAGGTTCGCTACTCGGTTCCGGTTCAGGTTCGCTTTTTTGTTCTGGTTCACTTTTAGGTTCTGCACTTGGATCTGGCTCCGAAGACGGTTCTGGCTCGCTTTTCGGTTCACTATTTGGTTCCGGCGCTGCAGATCCGATGGGAGAGGCGTTAGAAGTGACGGGCCCAATTTGAGGAAAGTTTTTACAGCTCTTCGTTATAGTTCTAGGTCGCCACCCTAGAGCTGCGTAACTGGTGCCATTAACGACCATAACAGCTTCAAGTTCTTTGTGTTCTTTGAGAATTCGCCAGTAAAGGCGGAATGTATCACTGAGCTTCTTTTCTGTGTACAGTTCGAAGTCTATTTCCGTTGTTTTTACAGGAGATTCTGTAATAAAAGTTATTATAAATTTCGGGATTGACAGTTTATTTAAATTCTAGGTCAGTCTTGGAAGGAAGATCATTAAAGATAAAACATTCTTAAATTCCGAATATCTTCGAAAAGGAAATTACGAGTCACTCACTTTTATTACAGCCTGGCCCAAACCATCCCAACTGACAGTAACACTGCCGCTTGGGAGCTTCGGTTGCATCGATGTCAATGCATTTTCCATGGTCGCCACAGTCGCTATTCTCGAAGCATTCGTCTCTGAATTGACAAAGCTCTCCGTAGTGGAGACGATCACACTTACATCTTCCAACAAGATTTCTGCCGTGGCCACCGCAGTTTTCTCGAAATTTTTTCCCTTAAATCCAGAAATGCATAAGTTTAACGTAACAAACGATTCAAAATTCTTACTTGGCTTAACATCGACATCCGCACAGGACCAAAATTTGTAATTAGCTCCCCATTCCAATGCTTGTCGGATCAACCTCAACGTGCAGTTCTCGCAAGTGAAGTCAGTTGGGAGTTGTATTTGAAATGTCTGAGCTCTGAAAGAAAGTTCATTTAATCCAATGATGATGCAATATGTATTAATGCTTAATATGAGCCACTAAATTATATATTCGTTACGTAACTAACTGATTGTACTAAATTAACGAGGATCGGTTTATAAAATCGTTTGTGCAAAGGGGTATGTTTTGTTTGAAGAAAGAAATGCTACGCTACTGTCTTATTGTAAAATAAGTAACGAACGTTTTTGCAAGTAAAGAATCACGTCAAACACTACTATATGTAACAGAACCGCAATACTGAGAACTCTCTCAAAAATGTGATTACATATAGAACACTTTGTTTTAATATTAAAATTATGAACATTATTACGAAAATTTTAATGCACTCTTATTAGCTTCAGTAGTAAGGATCTTTGAAAACTTATATTCCTAGTAATTATATATGTTTACCGTCGTTTTTATTAGGTCTAACATTAAGATAATTATATAAAAATGTTTCCATATCACATACAACCATGGTTAACATTAATTTAAAGAAATAGCGATCAAATATACAATAGCGGTTCTCTCCGTGTAGAAACCCAAACGTTAATTAAGACTAAACTCATTAACATTAACATTATCGATGTTGCACTTCAGATTTTTATATTAATGAAATATACTTACGTTGGATCATTAGAAACGAATTCAGATCCTTGTATCGTCGGCGTTAAATCTAAAACTGGCCTTTCCAATTCATCCAATAATTGTATTTTGAACCCACCCTAAGAAAGTGAAAAAATAGAGAATTATTCCAAACTTCCAATTTGAATAATTTAAATTTGTCAAGGAATTAAATGCTGTTATAGCACTGTATTATACAGGATGTTTTCTAAAGTAGTCTAAAATATTTCAGAGGATGTTTCTTCACACTATTTTATGAAAAAAACTTGAATACCAACTATATCCAAGAATGTGCACGTAGGACTAAAAAGTTATCTGTTAGTGTTTTACGTTTGGAAATTAATTCTAGAGAAAAATAATATTATAAATTAATAGAAAAGCATTTTGTTTAGAACTAGGCAAATAAAAAAATGCCAAGATATATCACAAGTCAGGTAATCATTAACGAAGATTACAATAAAACCCACAAAATTAAAAATATCCAGTGGCATGCATACTATTTTGTAAAATAATTGTTTCTCCTCTCCTGATTTTTTGAACATATGTCATAAACAAGATCAATTGTCATCAACTATTTTCGTAAAATTCTATATATGAAAATAGAGCACATTTTTTGTTCAGAATCGATTGCAGATTCAGGAAAACGTAATCAAATTACATAAAACTAGAATATGCAAAAGTTGCGAAGACATAACCTTGAGGACAAGTTGGCCTAGGCGGTCCCTGGCGTCAGACCGAAATAAGCACCATGTAGTTTTAATGACCTTTAATAAATGTACAGTTCGCTCAAAAATTATTTAAATCCCTGAAAGAGTTTTTGAGTTATTGCGGAAAATTGTTATTATTTTTTTCTAAACAACACCCTGTAACTCAGTAAGAGTGCATTGCAGAAAAATATTTTCTAGGAATTTTAATCTTATTTGGGTCTGGTCTACTCCCTGGTAAATTTTTGTACGCTGACACTGGGACACCCTGTATATAGAGAATTATCCTTTGAAATATTTTAAATTATTGAGGGAAACCCTATATATATATTTATAAGTAAGTGCTTATTTAAATATAAAAAACTCACCTTATGTGGATATCCCAAATGCCAAGATACATTAAATTTGCTTCCCTCTAAGAAAGACGTCCTTAGATCACCTGCAAAAAAATGTATAGATAAGTTGATCAGTATATCAAAATATGTTACCTATCTACCATTAATATGCGTGTATTTAAGAAAATATTATTTTGTAAAAAAATTAAAACAGTTTGAAAGAAATTGGAGTTTCAAGAAATTCGGATTGTTTATTTATTTTTCTAATAATTTATATCTGTTAGTTTTTTGAGAGATGTTGTTCCTGTTGTTATCGGTTTATTTTTTATACAGTGCACAAGGTATAAAGCTAATTCAAATCATGTTTAAAAATTTGCTTAAATTTTCGTCTAATGAAGTTATGTACATCAGTATTTAGATATTCTAAAAAGCATATTCAGACAAGTTATTAATTAATAATTAATTATATTGTAGGGAACAACTATCCTGCTGGCTAAAGCAGTACAACTACTCTGCAGACTAAAGCTCGGATTGGATTGCTTCATAAGATGAGAATTTCAGGAAAAAAATTATACCTAATTTGAAGTAGCTTGATATACTTAAGAAAAGTAAAACTACAAAAACTAATATTAAAAATATATATAAATTTAAGAGTTTGCTATGCTTTTTAAAGGCTTCCAGTCATTGTGTTACTGGCTAAAATTTAAGTAAGACCACTAATTTAACTAAAAGTGAATGAATCACATTAAAGATTTATATACGCCATTTGCTTAAATTTATATTGATTATTATATTTATGTTATTAAAAAATAATAGAAAAATAATTTTTCCCCAAAATGTGTTCATATTAAAACGATGAGTGATCACTTGTGTTAAGTAACAACATACTTAAGTATGCGTAAACGTAAACAAACTTTCAAGGTTGGTCAAAGTTATGCAGTCATTAAATAACTACCATAATTACTAGTTTTATGATACAAGGTAAGCGACCAGTGATGGATGGAATAAGATGTTGTCCATTGTCGTTGTGTACGTTGTTACATTTATTGAGAAAGACCTCAGCCCGCGTGTCCTTTACGCTCACATTAGTAAGTCTTATCGGAATAATTACAGTCAAGGTCGTAATTACAATTATTTTTTACTATATTTGGACAATTACGTATGCTATTCATTTTGCCGTTAATTGCTATAATGTCATGTAGTCTTCCAATACTCAGTTCTAATCTTCCTCTTATTTTGTTAAACAAGTTATATTATATAATCCTCAACTCGTATATGTTGTTATTAGCATGGATTAGTGTATCTAGTTTAAAATTAAGATATTTTACAGTCGACCGCGACTTTAGAAACTCGTGGAACAGGTTCATATAGACGTGGAGATGTACCTTACAGTTTTATCTTTATGTAGCTAATAATTTAAGAATGTTAGGATCAAATCATGTTCTAGGTTGGAGCAATATGCAGTAGATTCTTTAATCTTAAAGAAAATCGACTTCAAAGTCGTTTTAGTAGTAGATATAATGTAAGTGTTCCTTTGGTTATGACTGAAATTAACATAAAATGCTTATATGAGGATCTAGGTGGAGAAATCTTCCTAAGGGGCTGTAACCTCTTAAAGGAAGTTAAAGTTAAAGTAATGTTATAGTACAAATCTAAAAATGGAAAAAAATTGTTTCTAAATTTTAGTCGTGGTTCAATTAGACGTTAATTTTACCTTAGCATTTTATATGTGAATGACTTCAAGGTTAAATTTTGTTATTTATGAATTTTTTCGGGAGTAAAATTGATTTAAAAAGTATGTTACAGATCCCACAATACATGTAAATTATAAGTTAGTTGAATTGAAAACAGGAAAACAGATCGAAGAATATTTAAAACATTTTTGTGAATATTTTTTAATAACCTTGGGAACAGTAGGTATAGTATGAAAAAAGTTGAATTACTTAATGTCGATGTTAAATAGCAGTGAATTCATAGCTTTTATAATTTCGATCACGAAAGAGTGCAGCCCGACATTTTTACGATGATGACTTGATTGAAGTAGTTCCGTCGATCGATTTCCATCGATTAGATTAAGTCTATCTTCATACATAATGTACTTAATTATTTTTGTCTATGTTAAATTTGAATAGAATATAATTGCAAATTTTACTCTGAACAGATTTTAATCTATTAATGTAAGTAAAATATTGAGGGTTCCAAATTATGCAGCAGTATTCCAGGCAAGAGCGGACAAGAGAATTATACAGATTAGGAAAGTACCGATGGTCCATCTGCCGTTACGTGAGAGCGATAAAGTAAGATATAGAAATCCATGCGATAGAGAAGGATGGCTATAATGAAGGCGTCTCATAGTCACCGCCCGTTTGCCTCTTAATAAAACTGCACAACCTGAAACATTTGCGCAACATATCTTCAATATGGACATCGAACCTCAAATAGCTATCAAATTTGACTCCTAAATCAGTTACCACGTTTACTGTTTGAAGTGTAATATTATCTATGTGGTAATATGAAAAAATTATATTCTTTCTACGAGTAAACGTAACAACTTTACATTTATCATAATTTAATGACATGTCGTTTGACTTACACCATTTCACTAATGAATTTAAGTGACTCTGAACTCGATTGCAGTCATCAGAATGCTTAATATACAAAAATAATTTTAGATCATCAGCAAACATTAAGAATCTGCAATATTTTAGGCAATTAGAAATGTCATTTATAAATAAAAAAAATAATATTGGACCCAAATGGCTACCTTGAGGGACACCAGATGACACAGTTATTTCTCGAGATTTATCATCTTTTAATATGATAATTTGAGTTCTATCAGCTAAGTAGGATTGACGCCACAGCAATAAATTACCAAATATCCCGTATTAGCTTCGCCAGTAATAATTTTTGGTTAACACGATCGAAAGGATTTCGAATGTCCGTATCTATTGCATCAACTTGCTCACCATACTTTGGACAATATAATTACTAAAAACTAATAAATAATATTGTTATAACATAAACGAATAGAATCGGCTACTAGGGACTCAAACAACTTTTCTACTACGCTAAGACAACAAATTTATTTGTGTTAGTGATAATAAGGAAATGAATAAGCCTTAATATTTTTAAGCAAAAGTGTAATTAACAGCTACTAATACTTTCCTGTGTACGTGCAAGTTTTACAGATGAGTGAATGATTATGGAAACAGCTGCTTAATTCTAACTAGCTTGTAGAGAGATTTACAACAATTAATTACAGATAACGTTCCACTTTATATAATATGCTTGAGTATATAAGGTGATCTATAACTTTTCTAAGAACTAAGATTGTAGTATAACAACCCTAGGTTCGACAAAAAATAAGTAAATGTAGTTGTGGCCAAAAATATGTGATCGTCATAAGGAATACCTACGTTGTGTGTATTTATTTTTTTAATGACCGGAAGGCGCTGGCTACTAACTTTGTGGAGGGGATGTATGGTTTAATTATACAAAAACAAAAGCAAAGTAAATACACCTAGCTTTATTATCTACATACAACAGTCCTCAAATTAAACATGTGACAAATATAATGAACAACAAAAACATCAACAACCATTTAACATAAAATGAGAGTGCCAGGCTCACCTAGAGCTCCTGTGGGGAAAGAGCATGGCAGATAAACCCACGATCGTTGCTCTTACCACCCAAATATAAATACAAAACAACCGCTAACCAAAGGCATAAATTAAGATCCTTTGCTAATGATAAATAAGACCTGTCTCATTTAATGTGTCACTAAATGTCATCTGTTACCTCATATTAGTCATACACACTTCCAAGTAAAACTGAAGAGGTTTGGTGTTAGTTAGCCGGCAGAGCCGGAAGGTACTGGAGTCCCATACGGGAGGCAATCCAGCTATAGTTGAGATTTCGGAAGATCCTTCATAACACTGGAGTCCCATACGGGAGGCAATCGAGCTTAATCCAGATTCGTTCCGCACGGGCGAAAATGTTAGTAAACTCAACAAGGCTCGTATAGACGTATGACATAAAGTGAGCACAAGAAATCAAAGAACAACCTAATCATGATAAAACAAGTTAAATGTGAAACAAAGAGGTCGTTAATGCAATATCTGGGCAGTCACGACAATATACATATTTTAACATGTAATAAATAATGAGCAATCTATAATAATAATTGTAACAATTTTATCTTAGAAAAATATACGCCCCTGAGCGTAAGACAATGAAGGCTAAACATATACAGAATTATTATCATGAAACATCTATATTTTACGTATAACGTAATCGTGGCAAAAACAAGTTAGATGTGAAACAAAGAAGTCGTTATTGTAATGTCTGGCAATCAGGACAATACATATATTTTTAACATGAAATAAATAATGGGCAAACTTTAAGTATAATTATAACAATTTTACCTTGGAAAAATATATGCCCTTGAGCATAAAGCAATGGAAGCTAAACTTACAAAGAATTATTATCATGAAACATCTATAACCATCACAATCATAAGATTACATATAACAATTAACATCAAAGTACTTAAAGAATATTATCTGCTAACTAATAACACTTTAAACGATTAACTTTTCACTACTTTGACACACTGCCCGCCGATCGTCTTACTACCGAGCTCCAACTGCCTATCTTCGACTATTTAGGCTTCCAGAATTTCCTACCTAAGTACCTGTTTTTTGTGCTTCCTTCTATCGACCGTTAATATTACTTTTTCATTTTTATAAACTCTCATGTAACAGGTGACGTCGAAGTTGATAAGACAAGTACGGTTTTGCACAAGATATGCGCGCCTTTAAAAATAGAAACAATATTTGGAGAAAAAATGTTTGAAGTTGTTACGTTTCAAAGCACTACGTAGCTGCACGACTGTGTGTTTATCTAAATGTTTGCAGTTTCAGCAGATTTGATTTGACAGATGTTTTTTAATGGAAATTGTAGCCATTTTTTTTACTTTTTAGTAATATATCAAATGCTATAGTTATTCTTTCAAACACAGGTGATACGGGGTGTTTTATACATATATAGGTAAATTAGATAATTTTTTACATTTTAATATGGTAAGGCATGAAAATACATATAA